AATGTTTAAAAAATATTTTGACATTTTAAATATAAATTGTGACTTTCTTCCTTTCTTTCTATCAAGCTCTAGGTTTACGGGAAAGTGGTCGCCAACCCGTCGATCGCGATCTTTATCACTGTCCCAGTAAATCCCGAAAATAACAGTAAAATAAGTACAAAAATGCATTACATTTCTGGGGTTATATTAATGTATCACTGAAGGGAACCCGTGCAGATCGTGATTAAAATGCAGTGGTTGCCTCTAATTTCAAATGGCTAGATATTTTTGTTTAAAGCCAGTTTGTTTGTTATAAAGCAAATAGCCAATAAATAAATTTGCTTAAAAATCAGTATCAGTATCAGAATCCAATTTGCTAGTTAAAAAAAAAAGAAAGAAAAGAAATTCTGAATTCTGAATCAGCTATGACCGGCACATCACTAATTAAAATACCAAGTAAAAGGCCTCAAATTTGAAGTACAATCTGGAATATCTTTTTCGATCAGTTCTTCAATAGGTAGATCTTGTCTTTCATAAAGGCCGAGGTCAGGGATCTTGGGCCTAAAAAGGTTGGTGACCACTGGTTTACGGTGTTTGTTTGTAGGGATGTAGTTTTTTAAGAAAAATATTTTCTTTCTTTCTTTCTTGCTTGCTCCAGGTTTGCTGTGTTTGTTATAGGTATGCACACTTTGGCCAAAACATTTGTCATTATCAATATTAATATTATCAATATAACTATACCATTAAAAAAGTAAATTAGTCATATTGATATATTTACAACATTTTTAGCCAAACACGTATGAAATATTTATTCAGTAAAATGGCAGTCTTTGCATTTTGATAATCAGTACAGCTCTACCCAGATGTGAGTATTTCTGGGTGCATTTGTGATGCTGTGAAAAGCAGGAACTGCTGGGAGTGGAAACACAGAGCAGTGCTTTATGAGAAATTCATTACAAGACAGTTTCTTCTTTCTGCAAGGACAGATAAATATGAAAAAGTTGCTTTTTGGCACATGGGTTTTGCATTACATAACGGCCTAATTTTGTATTTGTGTGCTGTGTTTGTTTTAGATCTTCAACGAGAATGTGATTATAAATGCATGATTAGAAAATACTTTTTTGTGGAGCTTTGGTGATCACATGAGAAATACAGGTTCGAATCCAACCTGCAACATAAGTCGATCTCATTCCCCGTCTTGCTGTCCCCATAGAAAAAGTAATACGCCAAAAATAAAAAAAGCCCAAAATTAATAATCCAGTGAGCAGTTGATCTCTGTTTTGAAGATATTATGAACAGATCTTCATCCCAAGCCAGAATATCAAATCATTGCGCATGCACTGACCATTTAGACTGCAAAATGTTCAATCAATAAAAGGATTTATAAATGTAATCAGCTTAAACGAGAAGCCCGGCTCTTATGCAGCAGCCCATCTTCTGTGTTTTTGTTTTTTTCCCTGTGATGAGACGTGGGAGTGTCGCAGCTCATGTGGAGAGGAAATCAGAACCACTCAACTGAAAAAAATTGCTGACTGAACAGCATAACTCAGTGTCACTGGGATCCACCAGAGTGAATCTTTCCATCGAACTGCACTCATACACATCTGATGTGACAGAAAAGCTGCGCTGTGACATTCTGAACTACCTGTTCATCTTAACAGACACTTAGATTTACAATGAAAGGTCAGAAAGCTTCCCAGGCAGCAAAAAGTGCAGTGATAAGAAATGTGTAAGATCTGCATCTAGAGAATTCAGCATAAACAATGTTATAATATGCTGTAAATCAATCAAAATAATGAAAAATTATAAATAAATTAAATAATAATAAATGCTGTGATATATACATAAATATATATATACATACACACACACACACACACACATATATATATATATGTATATAAAATAATAAAAAATTTAATTAATGTAAATAAAATAATAAATTAAAAAAATTATTAAAAGAAGTTAATTCAGCTGTGAACTAATATTATTATTATATTTATTATTTTATTTACAGCATGTATATATCATTGTTTATTAACATATTTTAAATATATATTTTTTTTTTATTGTTTTGGAGGATATGGTGTGTGATAGAAGTTTTTGTTTTTATTTTTGGGCTTGATTAAATATTTTTAAAAAATTATATAAAATAATGACAATTAAAAAATGTAATCTGGTATAAAGTAACACTTAGCAAGCCTAACAAGTCATAATAAATCAGCAGTGACAGTTCATTGCTTTAGAGACATTGATTCATTGTTTGCCCAATGTGCACCAGTTTCTTTCATTGGGGTTTGCTTTCAACGAATCAAAATCAATATCTGTCTCAAGTGTTTTATCTCTCTCTCTGTGCCCACAAGGTTTTTAATAAGACAGCCACTGTTTAATTTGTGGTATATGAGTTTGTTTCTTTATCAGAACAGATTTGGAGAAATTTAACATTACATCATTTGTTCACCGATGGATCCTCTGCAGTGAATGGGTGCCGTCAGAATGAGAGTCCAAACAGCTGATAAAAACCTCACAATAATGATCACAATACATTTCAAACATTAATTTATTTCAAGTTTAAAGGCAGATTTTTGCTCATTTTTATATGAAATGTAATTATTCTGACTGTTTGAGGTAATGAACAAATCCATCATTAAGATGTTTTCAACCATCCATAATATTGCTTTCTCCAGTGAAAAACTCATCTCTTCTGAATCAGGAGAGAAATATGCACAGATCAAACACTGTTTACAAGTGAAATCAGTCCAAAATCAGTTCTAAACAAATATATCAGTGTGTCTTGATGTGAGAAGACAACAGGGGATGGACTTTTTTTACTGGAGGAAGCATTGTTATGGATCTTAAACATATATTTTGACCAGAAGTGACAGTTTAAAGTTGAAACATCATTATGATGGATTTGTTTCTTACAAAGATGCAGCTTTTTACTTCACAAGATGTTAATTGATGGACTGGAGTGGTGTGGATTACTTGTGGATTATTGTGAGGTTTTTATCAGCTGTTTGGACTCTCATTCTGACGGCACCCATTCACTGCAGAGGATCCATTGATGAGCAAGTAATGTAATGCTGAATTTCTCCAAATCTCCTCCAATTAAGAAACAAACTCATCTACATGTTGGATGACCTAAGGGTGAGTACATTTTCAGCAAATTTCCATTTTTGGGTGAACTATTGGACTGGAGTGGTGTGGATTACTTGTGGATTATTGTGATGTTCTTATCAGCTGTTTGGACACTCATTCTGACGGCACCCATTCACTGCAGAGGATCCATTGATGAGCAAGTAATGTAATGCTGAATTTCTCCAAATCTCCTTCAATTAAGAAACAAACTCATCTACATGTTGGATGACCTAAGGGTGAGTACATTTTCAGCAAATTTCCATTTTTGAGTGAACTATTCCTTTAAGGAATCGATATAAATAATCAGAACTGTAGCCAAATTTGTATAGTTTTTTGCAATCCACATCCCTGTATCAGCAAGGGTGCTTTTAGGGGAGGGGGGGTCACACCTGTCAATTTCGCTCATCATGTGCAAAATATTATTTATAAAGTTGAGGCCAAGAGGATGGGCCCCCAGTAGGAGCAGAAGCGACTGTCCTATCTCAGGGAAGATTATCTCTAATTGGGTCAAGCAATGGGGGAGCGATGCTGCCGTTTCCAGGGCAACAACCTCCAGAGAGGAATGACTAACTGCCAACTGACAAGTGATAATTGTCTGCAGGGCTAGGCGATATGGCCAAAAAAATTATCACAATACATTTCAAACATTCATTTCTTTCAAGTTTAAAGGCAGATTTTTGCTCATTTTTATATGAAATGTAATTATTCTGACTGTTTGAGTTTTATTAACATTAACCATTGGTCTTCCACAGTAGCATACATTTTGATCATGGGATCACAGTTAAAACCACACATATAGCACCTCAATACTATGGTAAAAATATGGTTTGTAGATATTTGAATGAAAAACTGTAGTCTTTACATTTGGTATTTAGCTATAGCTTAATCACAAAAGTACTGTAATTATATTCCATTACTCCTTTAATACGTTTACTACATGTGTGACCCTGGACCACAAAACCAGTCATAAGGGTAAATTTTTTGAAATTGAAAATCATCATCTGAAAGCTATATAAATAAGATGTATTGATGTATGGTTTGTTAGGATAGCACAATATTTGGCCGAGATACAACTATTTGAAAATCTGGAATCTGAGGGTGCAAAAAAATCGCCTTTAAAGTTGTCCAAATTAAGTCCTTAGCAATGCATATTACTAATCAAAAATTAAGTTTTGATATATTTACGGTAGGAAATTTACAAAATATCTTCATGGAACATGATCTTTACTTAATATCCTAATGATTTTTGGCATAAAAGAAAAATCAATAATTTTGACCCATACCATGTATTTTTGGCTATTGCTACAAATATACCCCAGCAACTTAAGACTGAAGACCAAACAAAGTAGATTCGCTTTGACAACGAAGCACACAGCGTCTTCACAACATGGCAGCGTCAACAATACTACAGCGAGAATAAAAGTTATGCCTTGTTTCTTTGCGTGAACATTTGGGCGGCGTTATGTAAATCTTCCCACATAGTGAGGTAGAAATGTGTGGGCGTGTTAGAACGAGCCGTTTTAGGTAGGTGTGGCTGACTCTTAACTTTTATAAAGAATATCTCTTTGGATTTGAGACTTTAGTCTTTGCAACTTTACAGATCTTCTTTATGCACCAAGAGCTTGTAACACTCCAAAGAGAAAGGAAAAATTGAAATCGCATCATATGACCCCTTTAAGACTGGTTTTGTGCTCCAGGGTCACATATAATAAAATTCAATATGAATATCCCACATTTCTGCCACAATACCATGGTGCAGTTAGTGTTACTAGAGTAAATGTATGGTATATGACGGCGATTTGTAGATTTAAAGTCTTCTGACTGTATCGTTCGTTGCCTGTGTCAGCAATTTAACATGCTTTTTATTGTTTTGTCATTCACAGAGCGCCCACCTGGCCATGATTGACACGCTGATGATGGCGTATACAGTAGAGACAGTGAGTGTGGAGAAGGTGATGGCCTGCATGCAGCAATACTCCACCGATTACCCAGACGGAGACGTGCCCTACGACACAGAGGATGCGGTCACTAGCTGGATGAATAAGGTATTTTTGCTCTTTTGTAAATCTTAAGCTTACCCATAATGCAATGCGAATGCATGTACTGAGCCTGATCGTCATCTTATACATTGTACTATTAACACAGACAGAGGTTTGTTGCACTTTTAAGCTGACTTGAATATTTCCTTGTTGGCATGTGTGATCTCTGAGGGCATCTTTGAGTGTCGGTGAAGGGGCGTCCCGGGACTTTTGTTTACATTCCCTTGCAGGCCAGCTGTACAGGCAGCCTAAATCATACACACATGCTAAACAGGCCATGAGGGACTGCAGGAAATTTCTGTTTCTTTTGTTGTCTTCCTGCTGAAGACTTTTGAAGAAGTTTGCATGAGGGTTTTTGGTGTGTTTACATCATGCGTTTTATCATAATAGTGAGTTTCAGATTTATTCTTAAAATTGGACCATCATTTAATGAATTAGTGTTGCCATAAACCAGGGGTGCCCAAACTCGGTCCTGGAGGGCCGGTGTCCTGCAGAGTTTAGCTCCAACTTGCCTCAACACACCTGCCTGGAAGTTTCTAGTATGCCTAGTAAGAGCTTGATTAGCTGCTTCAGGTGTGTTTTATTACGGTTGGAGCTAAACTCTGCAGGACACCGGCCCTCCAGGACCAAGTTTGATGACCCCTGCCATTAACAATACAAGATATGAATATATACAGCGAATCGGCAAATATATCTCTAAAAATCCATTTAATTTTGTGAATAAGCAATAAAATATGATATAATACATGTGGGGATTTCCACATTTTTTTGTCATATTTACATGAAGTATCCAATGAGATTTTAGGTTTATATTTCAATAATTTAACAACACATTGGCATGTTTACAGTTCTCTGATGTCAGTTAATGGCCATGTGGCATGCAAACAAATAAAATATTTCTTTTGTTTTTCTTTTTTATTTCTAGTTTTTATTTATTTATTTTTATTTTGTTTTAATTATTCATTTTAATTGTACATTTTTATGATTTAATGAATTATTAGCTTTTCACAAACTTATAAAATATAATATAATATAATATAATAAATTGACCTAAAATATTTACTTGAAGTACCCTGAGATTTTAAGGTAATATTTTAGTAATTTAATATTTGCATATTTTCCATTGTCTAATGTTGGTTAATGGTCACATGATACAGGTACATAAATATTTAATCTTCTTTTGTTTAGTGTTTTATTTATTTATGTATTTATTTTAAATGATTTATTTATTTTAATTGTACCTTTGTATGATTTCATTAATTATTAGCATTTCATCAACTCCCTGCAGTTCCCTCACTATCTCCAGTTTTGGAAACAATATCATATCATATCATAATAATATTATATTATATTAATTATAATATAATATAATAAGCTTAATTTGTATGTAAGGAATGGCAGTGATTTTAAGCTCAAAAACTCCTCTGTGTTTTACTCATTTTCAAGGTGAATGAATACTTGAAAGAAATCATAATGCAGGAGCAACGGAGGACGGAGGCGCAGAACGCAGAGCCTGTTGAGAATCCAAAGGTAAGTGTGCACTTCCTGTTCTTGCTCTAAAGCAGCGATGATTCAAAAGTCACTTTCATCCGTAAGAGGAAGATACAGAAAGAGATAAAGATGGATTTTTGTCATAATGAGCTCTCGTACGTTTCTGAAATCTGCTTAAAACAACGTTCTGCCAGCATGCCAGTGAAATTTCTATTCATCATGCCTCAAAACTCAAATACTTGTACAGATTATTTTGAAACTCATGTATTCTGATACTGAATACTGTACTGTACAATACAAGTAATGAATTACTTAAATACAGTCTTGAATTCACAATCTTGAACACAACAATAATGCAGAAGATTTGGGAATACTCATCGCTTAAAGGGTTAGTTCACCCAGAACAAAGGCCTCCTGTAGCGAATCGATGCGTTTTTGTAAGAAAAATATCCATATTCAAAACGTAATAATCACTTGAATCTAGCTTGCGCTCACTGTTGTACACTGGAAGCAGTTCCGGGGTAATGACGTATGAGGTCGGCGTTGCGCATGCGCCGTTCAGAAGTGACGCACGCGGAAGCACAACGGAGAGATCAAAACAAAACAACGGTCACTAATTAGAAGTACAAATCGAGGATTTGTAAAGAAGAATGTCGGAGGATTTCGATATAAGCCAAGAGGAGATTGGTTTTCCTTTGCTAAAGTAAAGAAACTTTGCTTCCTTTGCTCCTGTTAACAAACGTTGGTTTTCACGAGACTCACCGGCGCATGCGCAGCGCTGAACTCATACGTCATGCTCCCGGAACTGCTTCCAGTGTATAACTGGTGGCGCAAGCTAGATTAAAGTGATTATTACGTTTTGAATATGGATATTTTTCTTACAAAAACGCATCGATTTGCTACAGAAGGCCTTTGTTCACCCCCCGGAGGCGTGTGAGACACTTTTTTTTTTTATGGATGGGCGATTTTTATTTAAGTTCTTTTGGACTGATGCATGCAACACCCGCTGAGTGCCATTAAACAGCTTGAAAGATCAAAGACAATTTTTAATATAACTCCGACTGGATTCGTCTGAAAGAAGAAAGTCATATACACCTAGGATGCCTCGGGGGTGAGTAAAATGCAGCCTAATTTTAATTTTTGGGTGAACTAACCCTTTAAGGATTTCTGGTCACTAATGTCAACATTTAGAGCAGGAAAAGGAGCTAAGTAGCATTAATATATCAATATTTTTCAGCCTTTTAATGATATTCACTATATATCTTGTTTAATAAAAAATAAAATGTTGTAAAAATGTAATAAAAAATAATCGGCCCTGGATGTTTTTCGCTACATTAACATGAATAAATAATATTAATATTAATATTTTTTATTTAATATTAATGTATGATTTTTTTATATAATATAATATGAATTCCCAAACTTTTTTGTTAGTTCAATGCCTGTGACCTAAGATATTTACTTGTAGTAACCTAAGTACCCTAAGATTTTAAGTTAATATTTTTTTATATTTATGTTGTTTTTTTATATAATGTTAATAATTCAACATTTGCATATTTCCACCTGTCTGATGTTGATATGATACATTTTTATGGACCAATATAACTATATATATTTTTTTATTATTACTAAAACATTGTAAAGCATGAAAAATGTCATGTCAGCACTTCACATATTTTTGAGTGATGTAAGGAATCAGTTGAATCAGTGTTTTGAACTGATTCATTAAAATGGACCACTTAAAAAGACAAATTTGTTTTAAAATCTGGTATTAAAAAATGTTAAATGTATATTGTAAATATTAAAACATATCCCCAGAACAACTAACATTATTCAGTGAATCAAATGACTGTATGTAGACGTTTTAAACCCCCTAGATTTGTTAGTCTATTCATATTCTATGTAAAAGTTGCCTCAGATTCTCCTGTATAAATGTTCGCTAAGTTGACGTGAGTTCACAGGACGTGACGGATATCATCAGCCTTGTTGCCGTGTTTTATAACATGATGCTGTGTTGAGGGTATTTCTGCGGGGGGGGTCAGCATCCTGATGTAGACTTTATGCCAGAATAATGTTTGCTGATTCATGTTTTAATTGCTGATTCACATTCCATCTTCCTGTCCCTGTGTGACAGCATATTTGGCAAACATGATGGGTGACGTCAGTCTCACCTTGTTTTACCTTCTCTCGGAGGGAAAGGCGTGCAGTACGCTTGTGTACACAGCGTCCTTGTTTAAACCCCTAGAGACAACAAGACTCTGCCAACTTCCCAGCGCTACTTTTGTAGGATTTTGTTTTTGTTTTCCCCCCCCATATTTCCATGGTTAATGTCATAATCTGAGTCTGGTGAGAGTGCTGAAGTGCAGAGTCTTCACACGGAAGTGTGTGGGGCGTATGTCAGCATTCGGCCCACCCTGTCCTGAGGTCGTGCCTGGGCTGGGCATCTGAGAGCAGTCAGTTCTCAGAGGCGCTGTGTTTGAGAGACGGTGCAGACACAGTCAGTGCTGAGGAGGAATGTCAGGTGCTTACACAACACTGTAAACAGCCAGCATGGCATGAAGCGCCCAGAATGACACACAAGCACACCAGGTGTGTGTGTGTGTGTGTGTGTGAATTATAAATAATAATATAATACAAAAAAGTACATGTATGTGTGTATTATTTTTATTATTATTATATTAATTTATTTGTTAATTATAATTATATTATTTGGGAGGAGGGGTATATAGTCCATTTATTTAATATTACATTAATTTATTATTAATGATTAATTTATAGTATTTTTTTAAATTGTATAAAATTATTTTTAGGAGTGTATATTAAGTGCGTGTGTGTGTGTATATATATATATTTATTTATTTTTTAAATTTTTTTAAGTAAAACATAATAATTGTCAATATAAATGTAAATAGCAAATAATATGAATTATTAATAATGATAATAATTATTAATAATTAATATGAATTTATATTATATCATTGTGTGTGTGTGTGTGTGTGTGTGTGTATATATAGATAAAAATAAAATAATTAATGTTACTAAAACATTTATTAATTGTCATTTTTATATTAAATAATATGTACATGTAAATGTGACTGTATACCCTCTAAAATATTTATATAGGTCAGTGCTTCCCACAGGTTTGAAATACTTACATTTACATTTACATTTAGTCATTTAGCAGACGCTTTTATCCAAAGTGACTTACAAATGAGGACAATCATTTGAGAGCAATGATATGCAAGTGCTATAACTTGCGGTTGTAGCTGAGTGAAAATCCTCCTCTTCCCCATGGCACAAAAATGGTCTACTAGATGTGACAAATAACACATAATGTGTGATATTTAACAATATTTTTATTTGTTGAAATTCATTTTAATTACATAGGCTACTATTACGTACTGATATTATGCATTATGCATTGTTTCAAGCATTATTATGCATTTTTATGCATTGTATCAAATTAAGCAAAATGACAGCATTTAAAAGGTTCTCCTTGCTTTGTCATATAGTGTCTCTCTCAGTGAATGGGACACAGATTGTACTGATACAATCTGTAAAACCTATATATTGAATAATATACTATATATACTATTGTGGGCAGATTCTTCAGATGAGAGATGAAATATGCATTCTTACAACCATTTAAAACATATTATATAAAGGTCATAAAGTAGACATTGTCATAATTCAGCAACTCGAGTTCATAAGCAATCCACTAATTCCACTAGTTACTCGATCACGGATGCTTTCATTATTTCGAGCGGATAAAAAAAAGTATAAGAGGATAAAAATAAAAGCAAAAATGTTTCTCCAAATATAATAAATAAATAAAATAACATTTGTGTGTGTGTGTATATCGGGCCGCACAGGTATATTAACGGCCACCCAAGTAAAGTATATTATATTTGTATACATATAAAGTATATATATAGTTGTATACATTTTGAAATGTATTACTGTATATCTCCTAAAATATTTATACAAATAAATAATAATTTAATGTATAATTTCACACATATATATATATATTTGTTTCTAGAATTAATCCACTGGCAAAAGACTAATCCTGTAACTTTGCAGTCTTCTTCTTAGGGCATTCTGGGTAAAAATGCATTCATATTGTGATTCACAGGGTTTAATGTCTCTTAGATCAGAGAGCATCAGTTTTTCCTCTTCTGCAGTTTGGACCCCTACAGATATTTTGGCATGCTTTTGATGATACTCTTCCTTTTTACAGTCATTTAAGCCTTGAAAGTTGAGAGAGGCTTAAAACTGTGAAAACTAAGAAGAGGAAGCAGCAGGAACCAGCGCACTGTGTCCTAACCAGGCCTGACAGCGTTAAAGCAAACACTTTTTTTTGCTGGTTTGCTTTCTATTCCTTTCTCAGCGATTCAGTCTCAGTGAAAATTCGAAGTGTTCTGTCTAAATAAATTACAAATAAAACAATAAATGGTAAAGTCAAATTGACCGTTAGATGATGGAAGGCATTTAAATGTTTTAAAGGTAATCTAAATATAAAAATAGGTGAAATTAACTGCACAAAATAAATATCCAATATTGACCAATAGAGGTTTACGAATGTATTTATTTATTTAGTGGAAAGATACTAAACCTCCCTCAAGCTTCAAGAGTTTCGGTTTTCTTGTAATCTGGTTTCTAGTAAAGAAGGCATCGTCACGCTTAATCTGATATGGACGTAAACAGTTGATTGTGTTAAATAATCTCTGCTCGCTGACGTAACTGCTCTTTCCTTCTCTCTCTCATTCATTCTTTGACTGGCTGAAGTCTCCAACCAAGTGGTATATGAAGCTGGTTCCTGTAAGTGTGATTGTGAACACCTTCTTTCATCCCGGCTTCTTCCATCTCGTGGCTCCATCGTGTTTTTGTTGCCATGACGACGCTTTCACATTGTCCTCAGCTTCATTAACCACGCAATAAACTGTCGACAGAGAAATATTTATATTAGGCTGAGTAAAAATAGATTTTATGTTACCATCCATTTCTGTTAGTTAAAGTTCCCACTGCATGTCTTATTTTCAGTACTTTTCCATACTTTGGTCAGTTGTTGAATAGGCCATCATGAACTCTCTGAGTGTTACCAGATGTGATTTGCTCTACTGAATCATTTGTTTATGTCTGTTTGCTCCAGGCACGTTATAGGAAGGAGCAGGTTCTGCCCAAGATGGTGCCGTGGATCCCCCCAGTGGACAACCTCCTGAAGGACAGCACAGATGGCTGTGCCCTCGCCGCCCTGCTGCACTTTTACTGCCCCGCCATCGTCCTCCTGGGAGGTACATGAACCTGCCAAACCTCCAGCATTACCACACACAAAATAATACACAAGGTTCAGAGAGAATAGTGTGTGGGAGCTGTTGAATCAAAATGAACCCTATTTACTTTATTGAATGCACATGGTGTTATTGTACACAGATCATCAGTAGGAATGCAACTCATACTCAAAATCCATGTTTAATTTAATTCAATAAAATTAATTTAATTGATTTAATGACAATGTAAATGGTGACAATGGATGATATATTCATGGAGATGTGTTTTCACAGTTTTTTGAAAATGTTATACAATAGACAAATGTTTTTTTCCCCTAACATTTCTTTAAAAAAACACACACACAGTGATGTGTATTATTTTAATATTTCTTAATATTATAAAATAAAAAAAATGATAGTATTAATATAAGTATAATATTATATTTCTACTTTTTCCACAATATTAAAAAAAAAGTAGAATATACAATATTCTACTTTTATATATATTTTTAATAATATATTTTTGGTGATATTGTTTTTTTAATGAAAACAATATCACCAAAAATATAATGTTTATTACTTTATATTTATACCCTGTGCCTTTATATTTTTGTATTATTAAATAATTTAATACTACATTGTATTAATATTAATATGATATTATTATATTTCTATTTTTCACAATATTTTGAAAAAAATATACAAGAAACAATAGACAAATGTTTTCTTTCTTTTTTTTTACAAAAGAAAACAATATCAACATTAATACTGTGTAATATTTTATATTATTAGAAATTATAGTACTAATAAAAGTTTAATATTATTTTATTTCTATTTTTCACAATATTTTTAAAATAGTATACAATTGAAAAACTTTTTCTTCATAACATTTAATCAAAAAACAATATCCACAATAATAGTATTATTTTATATTATGAAAAACTTAGTAGTAATAGTAGTAGTAATACAAGTGTAATATTATTTTATTTATATTTTATCCTCAATATTGAAAAAAATATTATGCAATATTTTAAGTTGTTGGAGGAGCCCAGACAAATGTTTTTGTTTCACATTTCACAACAAAACCATAGAAAATTGAAGTCTAGAAAAAAATAGTGGGGAAAAAAATATATAATCAGGAGTTATGTTGGAATTTGTTGTGTAAGAGGCCATGTGGGTTCACGCTTTCGAAGGGTGCACATGTGTGCAAAGCCTACAAAATCTTATGTCAGTTGACAAACTGTAAAATATAACAAATTGAGAGAGCCCTCTGCAATGAACACTAAAATCCTGATCATTCTAGATGCTGGCAGTGTGCAAAGCTACATCTGATGACAATAAAATATTTTTGTAGGACTGTGCCCTCTCCTTTGTGTCACTATCTAAATTAAATTGTGTCACTATCTTATATTAAAGGAGAGAATATAAATACAAAATATTCAGTATTCGCATGCTGTCTGAGAAGTGGCTTTATGTGCGTACAGTAAACCGTCTCTCGGAGAATGCGCGAGTACTGAGTGCTCTTTTGCTGCTTATTGTGCTTGAATGGTTTAAAAATTCTTGAATGTTTAATTGCCCAGACTTAATAACACGTGCATATACATTCCATCAACTGTCCTGAGTGTCTTTCACGCTGAAATGTCTGCAGGAATTTCCCATATTTTAAGTGCGGAACCTAGGGAAGTGAGTAAAATTATGTATAATACCCGCAATCCCACGCCCAAATTCCCGCCCTGAAAACGTTTCAAAAGCATAGGCTTTTGCTTCACAAATCTCACCCTGTGGCAACAAACAGGTAGCCTGCATGTTTTCTAGCCAAGTAGTGACTAACGCAAACCTAGCCTACCTTTTAAAGTAGTCTATAAGCTTCCTCCTCTTTGTTTCACTCATATCTTTAAAAACTCTGAGGTTGGATCATCCAAAGGAAACGAACTTGCGACCTACTGTACATATTATATTTTTGAAAGTTATTTTTAAACGAGCTGTAAATGAGTTTTGAGCTTTGAATTTGTGAATACAATAGTCTTCAACTACTCATTTAGAAACATTTATGTGACTTTAATCATCCTGAACTCCTGTTAATCTAATCACAGTGATGAAGAGGACTAGTGCTGATTCTCCACCTAGCTGTAAAATCAAATGATGGATGCAATTACATTTATCCCCACAGGCAAACGTGAATCACACGAGGGTCATTTTAGACTCCATGATTAATGGGCTTCTCTGTGATTGGTTGAGTCCTTGTCAGATCTGCCAAATAGGCCGGATGATCTGTCTCAGTGAGTAGCGCCTGATTAGTGTAGCACTTTATCGTCTTTGATTTGCAGACATTTGCCTAAAGGAGACCATGTCGCTGGCAGACAGTCTGTACAACCTCCAGCTCATCCAGGACTTCTGTAAGGAACACTTGAACCATTGCTGCCACTTCAATCTGGAGGACATGCTCTACGCTCATTCTTCCATCAAAGTAAGCCTTCAGATACAGCTTGTATCTTTCAATTAGAGGCGTTTTACAGCTCGATGCAATTAGAGACCCTTAAGTTCCCCTTGCCTTCATAATTCATTGGTTTATGCGTTTATAACTGTAGGTCAAGGTTTGTCAAATTTCTCAGGTCACAACGTATGCGGTTGGGTGGGATGCTGTTATTTGGAGCCCTTTTCTCACAATAGCGCAAGTGCTGCCTGTGGGAGTTGGCTTTATTCCTGTTAAAAAGCCAAAAGCATGAGGCTTGCCTTCAAACGCTGGTGCTTAAACCAGCCTCCCAATGGAAGCAGATTCTCTAAAGACTGGTGCCATTGGCTAAAACAGCAATAAAATCACATTAAAAATGCCTAGAAGATATTTAAATATAGGAATCGTGGTTTGCTAGATAAGCCATTATGGAAAGATCTCAAGAGCTTTTCTACAGCAAGACGTTTTTTTTAAGCCTTTTTTGCTTTTATTCTGTGCTTTTCTCTGGGAAATACCTCCTTTTGTGAGATTTTCGTCATCTTAAGATATCAAAATGTTATTAAGACTTGGAAAAAATGTTGTTTTGCGAGTTGTAGATACCGTCAAACTGGAGATTTTTTACTTTAGACTGCTTTGTCAGTTATAAACCACTCTATGGACTGAAAGTGATGGAAGTGAAGACCAGTATTTTGTTTTGTTTTTTTCGTTCTGAATGTTGTCTTCATGTCTTTGATCTCAGTCCTCTCTGGACTGGAGAGACAGAACATCTGCTGCCAAGATTTTCAGTCGTGTTGACCGAGAAGCCTTTGGTTCTATGGAACAGACATTTCTGCTGTTGCTGTTGAACTCTGGTTTCAGTGGCTGTGGAAAGAGAATGTGGAGATTTAGTTTGGCATTTTATGGTAAGGATTTGGAAACCTGGCCACACTTACTAAACCACAAGGAGGTTGTTTAAAATGACCTTAGAAACTCTATAAACAGAGAGCAATGCTACTGGTTCCACCTGTTTTTTGTTTAAAGTGTTATTCCACAAATGGTAGCAAATTCTCACAGCATGTTGGGTTTTATTAGCACCTAACAGCCTCTGGTTAGAGGACATGAGCAGCATCTGATAGAGTCTGATACAGTGCCAGACTACAGAGCTGAATCTCTGAAATATGAGTGGAATTGAGAGCAGGTCACAGAGCTGTAACCTAGACCCAGTTTCTGTCAGAGCTAATCTAATCCCAGCTGCTTCCTTTTATTAAAATGTTCAGTGCGATTAGCACATGTGCTTCATGTGGTGAGGTGCAGCTTTGAATCTGGATTGTATTGTGACCTGATCTCATTCCCGTCATATTTATTTCCAGTTTGCTCTCAACTGTATAGTCAAAAGTTCCAAAAATCCCCTGGTTAAATAGATTAATAAATGAGTAGAAGTTTGTTGTATATTTATATAATTTTGAGAAAATAGTAAAAAATTATACATTTATAGTATATAGTATATGTATATTTATTTTCTATATGTAATTGTGTAATTTTTTAATATCTAATTTGGTTTTCTGCAATTTAGAAACTTGTCTGGGTCCTTTCTCAATAAATATTGATATATGCCATTACTTTTTGATTCTCCAAAATTCACCAATAATTTGCATATTTTGAAAAAACAATGTTTAAAGATTCGTTTGGCATGCTGTTATTAAGGAATTTGCATACGGGTGAGGAAGCATGATTAATTTTTTAACATGATTTTAAATGTAAATATTTGTAATAAATTGACACTTAAAAATTGACGCCCCGAATTAAAAAGCAACATTTTTATCCCCTAAAACTACAGATAAACCTAATAATACGTTCATGCTTTGTGTGTGAATAAGTACATAGACAGGCAGATGGGGGAGAAGACGCATGTGCCAAACACCATCTGAGTACAAGCATGCGCCTGCTTTGGCTCTTTTATCCACTCCATATAAATGTTGCCAGTGGATTTTTTTATTTATTCCTTTAGTTATTGCCAATAGCATTGGTAGATGGGATATGTGACATTGCATAAAATCAGTGAGGTTGTGTACAAATTTCACCCTGAACTATTTTAATTAATTGACAATGGGTAGCTTTATCTTTGTTAATTTGCTAGTACGTGACATTAATGTTATTATTAAAGGCTGTTGCAAATGTTAACAATTGATGCCTTGGATTGAGTAAATGCTTTAATCATTTGGTTATATGCAATAGATGTGGCTTTGTGTGTCTAGACTCTAGAGCTACTCTAGGCTATAAAGAGAGCAAGGACTCTTTGTTGAAAGTCAATTAAAATGCTGAGGTAATGTCTTCTGGGAGTGGCCTTGGGTAATTGCTGGGAATAGTGTATCAGAGACATTTTTCATCATGTCAGGTACCCTCTATGAATTCAAGGTCATGAATTCTGTAGTCTTGGCATAAAGATGTTGTTCATAGCACAAAAAGCATGTGTGCATTATTGGACAAAAAAAAGCTATATATACTGTAAAGTATAAAATCCCTCAGAATTCCTTATATATAAGCTATATAATTACATTTGAAGGAAAAGGGCACTCTTGTCTCCAGGTGGTGTCCGTTCATGCATTACCAGGATTTAGAGAATTGCAGAGACATCTTGTGGGAGAGGAGGAATATTACACATACTAGTTTTATACAAGCATGCCAATTATTTTGGAAAAAAATGCTTGCAATGCAAGTTAATGTGTTTGTTTGTTTTTACCAGAATAACTATCTTGTGTTTATGGCTGAGCTCTTCTGGTGGTTCGAGGGTGCCTTTAAACTGCTAGATGTAAATTCTGCTGAGTGGGAATAGTGTATCAGAGACATTTTTCATCATGTCAGGTACCCTCTATGAATTCAAGGTCATGAATTCTGTAGTCTTGGCATAAAGATGTTGTTCATAGCACAAAAAGCTTGTGTGCATTATTGGACAAAAAAAGCTATATATACTGTAAAGTATAAAATCCCTCAGAATTCCTTATATATAAGCTATATAATTAAATTTGAAGGAAAAGGGCACTCTTGTCTCCAGGTGGTGTCCGTTCATGCATTACCAGGATTTAGAGAATTGCAGAGACATCTTGTGGGAGAGGAGGAATATTACACATACTAGTTTTATACAAGCATGCCAATTATTTTGGAAAAAAATGCTTGCAATGCAAGTTAATGTGTTTGTTTGTTTTTACCAGAATAACTATCTTGTGTTTATGGCTGAGCTCTTCTGGTGGTTCGAGGTTGTTAAGCCGCCATTCGTCCAGCCTCAGGTGTTGGATACTGAAGGTAGACTAATATTACAATAGAATGAATTTTCCAGAAATATTAGTCAATGGTGTTGACATTTGTATACCGACACATTTGTTTTGTCATTTTATAGCACCAGCCCCTTCACTGAAAAATTTGCCATCTGTGCCCATCTCAAAGGTCACAAAGAGAAGTTTCATGGAACGACCGCCTAGTCCAGACAGACCAAGGTATATCAAAAGTCTCTTTTATTGAAAACTTCCCCCTTCTGCTTAATTTACTTTGAATGCCTGTAGCAGTTGAAATTCAAACGTAAAATTGGATTGATATTCATATTTTCTTTATGTTCATGTTAAAGTCTCCCGCTCCAACCTCAACCACAGACTTCAGGCTCAGGTAAATTTAAAAGGCCTAAAAAATGTTTTATGATAACAAAATTTAAGTCTTAATATGAAATGCACCCAGTACTATATAAGTTATACATGTGTGCTGTGCAGGTGAGATCAAGAGATCAACCTCAATGTCATTTGTGGAAAGCTTCATGGGTACTTGGCCCAAAGAGAAGAAGTAAGTGCAAGTTCATCTCATTATTAAGAATAAAAGACATAAAGTTTGAAACTACATGCCGATTGGATACCATCCTCTCTTCTTTCTTCAGGTCTGCTGCTCAGGGAGTGTTCTTTGAAATCCCATTTGATAAAGAGAACACCAATCAAACACCTACTGGCCGAGGGATGACTCGGTCTGTCAGCACTGAAGGTTTTGGTTTCAAGATGCCCCACGGCACCAGGGGCATCAAGAGAAACCTGTCCTTTCAGCCTGTCAACAGCAAGAACATGGGCATTGATGAGGAAGTCTGTCCTGACAGCCTGTCGGGAAATCATAATGGCCGTCTAAATGGCTCAGGGCCACCTAGCATCAAAGAGGCCCTTGAGATCATCCACAACTCAGAGAAGAAATCTCAGAGCCCTAGGGTCCATGCGCCCAGTGAGGGCTTCTTTCTTCACCTCCAGAATAAAAGTGATTTGAACCCTGAAGCAAAGGATGGCGAGCTAGACTCAGTTTCAGAGTCATCCAAAGGGGTTGCTAGCACATCCACCACTGAAGTAGACACCGGCATCCATGTGCGGACGGAGGACATCCAAGAGACACTAGATGAGGACTCATCCCTAAGGGATTGTACTGTCAGTATGGAGTTTGACACAGATCAAGACTTTGAAGCAAGAGCTTACCATAGCCAGGGCTCTACAAGCCCATGTCCCAGCAGCCTAAGCAGCAAGTCCCCTGCTGGAAGCACCCCTGCTTTTACACCTGGGATTAAGATGACCAGCTTTGCTGAGCAGAAATTCCGTAAATTGAATCCAAACGTGGAGCCTAAAGGTGCTGCTTCCCAGAGTACAACACCAGATGGATTAGATCTCTGCATTCCTCACTCTGTTTCCTGGGCTCCTTCACCTGAGGTCAGCCCTGCACATCAGCCATCCAAGGACCCGGCCCAGGCCATGGCTGCAGAAATGGTGCAGCTGCACATGAGACTTGAGGAGAAGCGTCGAGCCATTGAGGCTCAGAAGAAGAAAGTAGAGGCAGCTTTTACCCGACACCGTCAGAAGATGGGACGCAGTGCCTTCCTCACATTTGTCAAGAGGAAAGGAGTAGATGGCACCTCACCTTCTCAGGAGGACACTCCTAGCTCAGAGGGAAGCAAGAGGCCAGCGGAGACACCTCAGCCAGTCAAGTCTCTGGTGAAGTCTGCGGGTGAGGACGGCACATCCGAAGCGGACCTGATAGAATATACACGTTCCATTGAGAAGCTCAATGCTTCCCTGAGCTTCTTGCAGAGTGAGATGCAGCGGCTGGCCCAGCAGCAGGAGGTAATCATGCAGATGCGGGAGCAACAGGCTTGGGTTGTGTCGCCACCTCAGCCTTCACCGCAAAAGCAGGTGCAAGAGCTCCGAGGGTGTGGGGCACGCTCTTCTGGGTCTCCCTCACCTGCGGATTCTCCTAGAGCTACACACTGTTCCCCTACAAACCTTAGGAGGAAGTCTGCTTCTTTCCATTCCAAGACACCAAGGACACCCAGACCCAGTGAGCTAAAGATCACTCCCTTCAACCGAGTCCTGACTGTTCCACAGTCGGTGGACAGCATACCACGCTTGAGAAGGTTCTCCCCATCTCAGTCCGTGTCCTGCTCATTTTCTTATTTGGGAAATGAGAAGAAACCACCATCAGGACCTGAAGCTACAGACAAGGACATAGAACAAGGCCTTGAGTCGTTGTCGATTGAATGTTCTTCTGGTACCATCACCTCCCCAACCAAAGAAACCCAACAGGATGTAACCGAAGTTGCTGACTTGTCAGCCAAGGAGACAGAAGAAAGGGGAGAGGAGAGCAAGAAGGAGAACGGACGAACAGAAGAAAGGGAACAGCTGAAGAAGCCAACAAATGAGATCAACCCGGTAGTGGAATCTAGTGTGTCGGAAGTTTTGACGCAGATCGTAATGGAGACCGTCATTGTCACTCCCACCGAGCCAGTTGATATCGCCCATCAGACCAACACAAATTTGATTGAGGTTCCATTGTCTGTTCTCAAGCCCCTGGATGGACAGACGTTGCAAGATGAAGGCGAGAAGGAGACTTCAGGGGAAAATCTGGACGATGAGCAGAAAATGTGCTGTGGATTCTTCTTTAAGGTAGATATGAATGTCAGAAGGTCCTTGTCTTAATCTGTAGATTAAGGAAGCTTGGAAATGAACTCTTCCACTACCATGTGCGAATACTTAGAGGTGAATGCTAAGGCAAGCATCGCTATTACTATTGCTTACAGTTAGCAGTTTGAATTTAAGATGATTTACCTGTTAAATTTTGGTGTGATCAAATCTTGTCACACCATTGGGGCTATGAACTTGAATGCTACCTTCAATTATGTGGTTTATTGAGGATATTACTTTTCTTGACTTTATTGAGGGCTATGTTGTCTTGGACCAGAAAGCAACCATCTAGAGAACCTTAGCAATGGCCTAGCAATTTGTTAAAACCACATAGTACACCTTAGCAAACAGCTAACAATACCCTAGCAGCTATCCAGAACACTTTAGCATTGTGGTGGCAAGTGCCTGACAGATTTTATTAAGAATCTGTTAAGGGCCATAGTTATAACCCAGAATGGTGTATTACCATAGCTTTAGCTCAGGAAAATGCTGCTGTGTGACTATAGTGAACAAAATTATTTTTAGCGTGAACAGTCGCAGAAGGAGGTTAGCTTGGGACAGATCTCTAGAAAATGCAGCTGTTTGATCTAGGTCAGAAAACTAAGTCAAATAAATAATTTATTTTATGGTGTTAGCGTTCTGCAGGGAGTCTGAGAAGTGTTGCGTATCTGGCTCATCCAGACTCGTCACATTAACATCAGTAAATTGCCTTCAGATTCCTTGTTCAGATACTTGATAGACCTGAAACATAAGACATTAACAGAGATTCTTAATGTCCATTCTGATAATGTGTTCATGTTGTAAGGATGATATGAAGGAAGAGGACAGCATGGCCATGAAGCGAGCAGCGCTTCTGGAGAAAAGGCTGAGAAGAGAACGGGAGAGCCAGCAGAGGAAACAGCAGCTGGAGGCGGAGCTTGAGCAAAAGAAAGAAGAGGCCAGGTAACACCCAGCCCAGCCTTCAATCACTAAATCTAAACTCCTCCCCCTCGTCTTTAATTTCAATATCTGTCTTTTTCCACAGATTGAAAGCAGAGGAAGACCGCATGAAGAAGGAAGAAGACAAAGCCCGGCGGGGGTTTATCAAACAGGAGTACCTGAGGAGAAAACAGCTGAAGCTTATGGAGGACATGGACACGCTTGTCAAACCACGGCCTATGGGGGCCAAACAGAGAAAACCACGGCCCAAGTCCATCCACAGAGATGTGATGGAGTCCCCCAGGACTCCTGTCAGGGCCATGGCAGGTAAAGGGCGCCCCCTACTGGCAAAGCCCGACACTGCATGCTTTGTGCTACTCTCAGCCTTTTCCTGTCCAGCTCACTGCATCCCTCTGTATTTCCTCCTAACAAGTACTCTAGAACTTTACTTGCCTAAATATCTATTCGAACCAATTTATTAACTTTCTAACTAATTTCCAACTGTTTTCAAAGGACTCTCCCTAAACTAATTTGAATTAATTTAACCAATCTGGCTGAATTCTTTTAAGAATCTTTCAAATTACACTCTTGTGTGTGTTTTAGACAGTTTGAAGGAGTTAGAGAGACTGTTAGCAACATTATTGCAGAGAGCTGTACTGTTATGAGGGTAACACAAAGTTTGGCGGGCTTGGTGTTGTCTTGTGTAACTGTGGGTCCTGTCCTGTTTTGTGTTTTGCATCCAGGTTCACGACCTCGTGTTTTTTCAGTTTCCAGCCTGTCTCTGGCATCTCTTGGAGATAATGACAGTGTCAACTCAGATAAGAAAACACAAAGGTAAGAAGCACTTCAAGCAGTCAGCAGAATGAGAATGTGTTTACTTGTGTTTCCCTGCAATTCTATATTTTTCTCTAGCATTACTGTACAATACTAACCCAGTATCCTTTGAATTCTCTGTATTTTTTCCTTTGTATTCTTGAATGTTCTTGCTTCTTAGAAGCAACAGCTTAGCATCTGGCAGTCTTTTCTTCTATTTGAGCTCTCCTAGTGTGAGAAATAGAAGGTCAGTCATAGTTGGATAAGACTCTGTGCTTTCATCTTCTGTTCAAGAAGAACATCCTGTTTTGCTTTGAGTTTGGCAGCAACACAAGGAATGATCCCATCTTTGAACAATAAAGATGGCTACTATAGTTCACCCATCACAGCTTTTTTTGTTTAATTTTGTCATTATTAAATCAGAAAATATTTAAGGTCACTAACCTTCACACTGGCACTGAATGGCACTGAAACTTCAAGAACACAAAAATAAAGATCTGCATTTCACTTTTTGCAAGAGGCTTATTTAAAGACTTAACGTGCATTTAATATTATGTTGCTTTCTCAAATGCATCACATTAAAAGTATTTTTAGTTTGATGTTGATACCAAGGAAATTTAAATAAAGTATATATATATATATTAAGAGTTTCAATTCAGTCACTACTTGATTTTACATAAGACCAGTTGTTGTTAGTAGATGCATTAGCACTATTCTTGTCAGAATCCGATGGATTGCAGGACTCAAGTTTATCATGTCCTCCCAGTAGGCCTGATTCAGCAGACGGTTGCCTGTCGCCCACACGCTCCAGCAGCCATAATGGAGAGAAAGACTGGGAGAATGGTTCCACCACATCCTCACTAACATCTAACACAGAATACACAGGTTAAAATATTAAAATGTTTCACAATATTTATCGGCTGCAGCTCTACCTCCAGTCCACCAGAGGGAGCCTGTATATTAGGTCTGAGCAATACTATCTACATCTAAGCTTTGAACATACTGAACATAATTAAATGTAATGTATAAAACATGCTCAGAACTTCAGGTGACAGCTCCCTCTAGAGGACTGGAGGGTGAAAAGCAGACTCCAAAAGTGCAATATATTTTATATTATGATATGACCTTACATAATACCACGTCTGTTTCTTTGCCCCAGGTCCTAAATTATATAAGGAACCCAGTGCAAAGTCAAATAAGCATATAATTCAGAATGCTTTGGCACATTGCTGTTTGGCTGGCAAAGTCAATGAGGGACAGAAAAACAAGATTTTGGAAGTAAGCATGTCCATTTTGCAATTACTACTACTATTGTTGTTTTAATTTTAATATTTAATAATATAGCTATTAAATGCAATGAATACATTATATTTTATTTAGTGAATTTTAATTTAATTGTGCATTTAATATTTTGTTGCTTTCTGAAACGCAACACATTAAAACTTATTTTATTTTTGGTGTTCCATTTGGTACTGATAACTTAAATAAAAAATTTAAATTTAAATAAAATATTTAAATTACATTTTATTTTAAAAAGCGTGTCATGATTAGGAGTTTTTTTTTTAATGTAGAAATTAAATGTTTTTATTTTTTCCACATTAAATTTATATTATACATTTTATTCATTATATTTATTTGTTTTCTCAAGGAAATGGAGAAATCAGGGGCCAACAACTTCCTGATCCTGTTCCGGGATTCTGGCTGCCAGTTCCGCTCTCTCTACATGTACTGCCCCGACACAGAGGAGATCAACAAGTTGGCCGGCATCGGTCCTAAAACCATCTCGCGCAAGATGATCGTCGGCCTCTACAAGTACAACTCAGACAGGAAGCAGTTCAGCCAAATTCCAGCCAAGACCATGTCGGCAAGCGTCGACGCCATCACGATCCACAGCCACCTGTGGCAGACCAAAAAACCAGGAACGCCGAAGAAAGTAGCGGCCGTGAAGTCCTAGTGTTTCTAAACGCCGGACGTACACAATCTCAATGCACTTGTTTGTACATAATCGAATCCTACAATACTTTTTACACTCTTCTGTCAGCTGTCGTTCGGACACACAAGATTGCGAAAACTATGCACAACTGGAATGTAAAACTCTATGGGGTGGACACCCAAGACTGTGTGATTCAAGTTGTTTTACTGCACCGCATAAATGTTGTTTTTATTTAAATGTGCCAAAAAAAAAAAAGGGGAAAATAATGAAAAGTTGTCATGGATGACCTGTTATTTTAATTTGGTACACTAAAGCACTGAATGTTCTTAGTTTGTACAGAAATCTTGCACATATGTTGACGCGTGGCCTTATGTTGTTTTTTGTCTATATTTTAATTATGTTTTTATTTGATTTATTTTTTACGACTGTCCTGATATGATTGTATGGCTGCTTATGGAAAGGTTCTCACATGCATAGCTTGTGATTCTAACAGTTTAGTACTGCAAGGTAGTCCTGTCATATCTAGTATACACTAACCAGTGTGCTAATGTGCAGCGAGTGGGTTAGTTTGCAGGCCGAACCCACTTTTGATGGGTTTTAACATTATCTAATGGCATTGATTCACAGCAGGATTGTGAATTCATTTCATTCCGTTCCTGTAGGTGTTTTTGCTTTTTATATACATGTGTGTGTATATATATATATATATTGTTTTTTTTTTGGACCGACTGATGGAAATGTTCAGCATAATGATTTAATCAATATTTATCTTTCATGAAAGGTCTTAAATAAGACTAGGTGTTAGAAAACCAAACCTTTCTATTATATTGTTGGTGCGATTCAAAAAAAAATCTGGTGGATTATCTTTGACTGAATTGTTTGAACGATATTTCTATGGATGAAGATGAATAACATCATGTGCTGGAGTAATAATCATTTTCAAAATACTTTTGTACTGTTATGTATGCTTGTGGTGACTGCTCTGAAGTATTTCCCTGTCCCGGGTCACGCAAAAGTATTAAAAGCAGTTTGCCAAATGATATATTTTACCGGATTATTGGAGCCATTTCCGTTTTTTGCGACTGAGGGCTAAATCGTTTGATTGGTAAATTATTTTAAATAATAAAAATCATTTTTTGACTTGTTTGTAAGGGGTTAAGACATGCCGCGTTTTGTTTGCCTGAAGTCTGAGTGGCATTTTAAGATGTTACGGATCTCAGTCTGTTAGCATTCCCACTTAAGAAGTGATCATATTAGCGAAAATATGAAATTTCGTTGGCAAAACAGGTCCATTGGTAACAGTGTAGTGATGAAGACGTCAACCAAGCAGCTTTTTGTTGGTCAAAGCACTCAATATGGGTGAATCCGTTGCGAAATCTGCATGGGAAAATCCTTCGCCCTCAAGCGAAATTCCCAGTATTGAAATGACTCAATTTCGCCAGCAAAAATTTGCCAAACTATGGTAGCTAAATGTCACCACACCTTTAATAATTTTAAAGGGTTAGTTCACCCAAAAATGAAAATTCTGTTATCAATTACTCATCCTCATGTCGTTTCAAACCCATAAGACCTTCGTTCATCTTCGGAACACAAATTAAGATATTTTTGATGGAATCTGAGAGCTGTCTGACCCTGCATAGACAGCAACGCAACTGAAATGTTCCCAAGTCCAGAAACGTAGCAAGAAGATCTGTAAAATAATCCATGTGACATCAGTGGTTCATCCGCAATTATACGAAGCTACGAGAATACTTTTTGTGTGCAAAAGAAAAAAAAACCCGACTTTATTCAACAATTCGTCTCCTCCGCATCACCTTGTAGCGCCATTTTGGAGAGTATCAGCTGATGTAAACAGCGTATGCTGTTCTGTGCCAGCTACGTTACACGGATACGCTGTTTCCGTTCAGATCAAATCACAGCAACGTAGGAAACAGATCTGGCGTGACGCAGCTGACACAGAACAGCATAAATTGTTTACGTCCAGCGGATATTCTCCAAAATGTCACCAGGGTGATGCGCAGGTGACGAATTGTTAAATAAAGTCGTTTTTTTTTTCTTTTGTGCACAAAAAGTATTCTCGTTGCTTCGTAAAATTACGGTTGAACCCCTGATGTCACATGGATTATTTTACAGATCTTCTTGCTACGTTTCTGGACTTGGGAACATTTCAGTTGCGTTGCTGTTTATGCAGGGTCAGACAGCTCTCAGATTCCATCAAAAATATGTTAATTTGTGTTCCGAAGATGAACGAAGGTCTTATGGGTTTGAAACGACATGAGGGTGAGTAATTAATGACAGAATTTTCATTTTTGGGTGAACTATCCCTTTAGGCAGAATGTGGCTGTAGAAGGGTAGAGGCTTTGTTGCCTGATGAAAAAACGGCCTTCCTTTTGTGCCCTTTATTTCAGTAGGGATTGTAAAAAAATTCTCGAAACATAAACTTGCACACCTGTTCTCCCATTCAAACATTTCTTGAGTAGTTTGAGTGATGTGTCAGTGTTTGGAATGGAAATATGTGCACAGCCCTGAATACACAGTGGCTGACATCTTATATCCATTAGAATGGTACAAGCCACAAACGAGGGTTATTTAACTGTAAATGAGCACAATAGAAAACTGTAGTGTGTGTTCTCTAATCTCTCTAGCACGTCTTTCTCTTTTATTTTCTTTCAGGCGCTGTGCTGTCATATTGTTCAAGTAACATGTTTGATTTCAATTGCATTTAATAAATTTCGCATGGCCTCATGTGCAGCCTGCTGATTATTGTTTGACATTCCTGAATTTCCCTGATAGCACAAGTACATCACGGAGACGTCTATTTGACTTTTGCATTTACATCTGTAAGATGTATTTTTTTAGAGTGTTTGCTCATCTGCAATACGTCTATAGGACGTTTCCTATCAGATGTCGAATAGACGATCAGAAAATGTCTTTAAGATGTTTATGATTTCGAATGTATGTAAACCTGACATCTATCAGATGTTTGTACACAGCAGATGCTTCCAGATGAAGCGATCTTTAACAGACATCTTGCAGATGTACGTGTGCTATCTGGGTTGTCGTGAAATTGCATCAAAATATGCAACATACTAAAAATGTTGTAGTTACTAGAAATACTGCATACTTCAGTAGAAGTATGAGTGCTAGAATAATAACGTTGAATAATATTTTAATAATTTAAGAGGATTTCTAGTATTCAAAAGTGCAAATTAAAGAATCATTCTTGAATATTCATGTCCATATGTCCTGTCAAGAGAAAAAATTAAAAAAATAAATAAATAAAATCTCCTGCAGGTCCATAAACACACTGTTGACGAAATCTAAGGTGTTTGGAGGCAACGTGAATTTTAGAAGATTTCTTGAATTTTCCATCAACACTGTTAAACCATCAATAATTCATAACTTACAAATAACGAATATTTCATACTAAAATGGTTTAATTTGAGTTCGTATATCATTTTCATGATATGTTCAGGCTCTAAAGCCTTAATGAAAGCGACCATGGATAATTTACCTCAGATCTTGAAAATAACTTAAAGGAAACAAAAACGTTCAAACTTTGAACTCTGTGTGAGCAGCGTATTCCATGACAGACTGTATCAGTCACTGAGTATGTATTTTGAATCATGCTCAAATCGTTTAATCATTAATAATTTGATTGTGTACTTACATATTTCGTTGCCGTGCGTTTGCAGCATAGGTTTGCAGAGAGAACCCCACGCATATGCCCTTCTGATTGGCTGTAATTTATCAATTCGATTATTAATATATTTTATAAATTTATATTTAAAAAAATAGATAATTTAAATTCATATTTTTATTTTTATTTATTTACTTATTTTTAATTTTACATTTACATTTAAATTCTGCCATTCGAAGACACAACTAAATACAAAAATAAAATCAAAGGTAAAAAGTTTAAAATAAAATAATGTAAAGAAGTACACAGATCATCTTCAATAATACAACATCTGATATTTTACAAGCATGAAGCAGCTGACAGGCGATTCACGACCGGAAGGTGACGTCACACGCTATCGCTCAGGTGAGGGTTGGGTTACGCGCACGCACTCAGGACCTTTTACTACTCTCGAAGCGACATGCTGTCTGAATACACGAGAGACATTTATTCAGCCATTCAAGAGCGTTTCTGACATCTCTGGTGAGTTGATTTATGTTTTTGGGCGAGTTGCAATAATATTTGTTTAGCCTAATTTAGTAGAATGAAAGACTTAAATACTTAATTAGATGCTAGTCTTTTCTGTAAATGTGTGTTAGCGTGTTTGTTCAGGGTTTACTGTGAATCCCTGTGTATGTATCGATCAAGAAAATAATGAATTTAAGAAGAAACGACAACGAAATAGATGCCTAATACACAATATATATTATATTTCCACATTTAAAACGGCTCCAAAAGTATTGGAGACTTAAAAACGTATTTGGACACTTAAAAATGTCCAAATGTCATTACATTTGATACAAAATATCAGACCAAGTTGCATTAATTTTGAAGCACAATAGCATAAACATGAGTCTGAAGCATTTTTAATGATAAGACAATGTATGGGTTGTTCAGAATGAGGATGAAAAGTATTAACTTTGTGGTTGTCAGATGATGCTGTTCATAGTTAATGTGATGAAATTCATCTTTGGTTACTTTAGTAAGAGACCTGTGAGGACTTGAGATGCACTGACTTCATATACACTAAAAATCACCAGTTGATTAAATGTAATTGCAAAAATATCTCAGAAAAGTGACTCAGAAAACATTTGTGTGATATTTTGTTGTCTAATGCGTTGAAATAGACACATTTTAAGCAGGGCCACTGTAATGTGAGACATATCACACTTAAAACAGTGAGATAAACTCAACAGCTTCTCAAGTCGTGCTCAGACTTGCCTGAACGCTAGAAGGGAATGCTGCTTTTTCACGCCCGTCTGTTTACCCAAGTCTTCATGTGGTGCACTTACTCACTTCCCTGCACTTTCACCCTGAATACACTTTTTTTGTTACTGTCTTGATTTGCAAAATATATGATATAGTAGTGCTACGATTGTTTTTTTGTTGTTGTTGTTTTACAAAGAGCTTTAAGCTTTAACTGATGAATGCCACCTCCAGCATTCACAATAATAAAGCATATTTGTTTCAGCGAACTGAGTGAACAAAGGCCTAACCCCATGAACTGGGTGTGTTTTCCAACGTAAAATTGTTTCGCAATAACAGTGACACATGGAGTGTCATTGGAAAGCTGCAGGTTAATGAATCACTGAGTGTTATTTCAACCTGAACCACTTGAATACTAAGGAACCATTATCTTAAAGGTCAATTAAGAAGGCCTATATTTATACTCCGAGCTGGAATTACCAGTTGTGCAAATTAGCAGTATGACATAACAGATATTAAACTGATTTTCTAGATTTAACCTTTGTAATTAGCATGCAGTGTCATGAGGGTCTACAGATATGCTGTCATTGATATAATTTCCTGTTTCCTGTTTTTTTTTCTTTGTGCATGTTTGTACCACATGACTTTGAATTTGAAAAAATAAAAATAAGATAATAAATTAAATTTCAGATATTTAAAACATTTTATAATAATAATAATAATAAAATATGTCAGACTGCTTTGGGTTTCCTTTTCAAGAATTGCATTAATTTAATGAGGCCTTTTTTGCTTCATTATGATATCAGGGCAACTGTGTCACCCTGACAGTTTTTACTTCATTTCCCCAAAAATATTACAGATATTTTTAATTCATTTCTTCATCAATCTTAGAAGAGCTGCATTTAGGTAATTTTATTTACAAATTGAATTAAAATTTTATGATTTAATTAATTTAAAATAATTTTTATAATTTTTTAAAATGATAAATTACTAATAAAAAAAATTAGTGCCTCGATTTATTATTTCAAACCTTTTTAAAAATTATTATCATTATTATTAGTAGTTTATAGTTAATGCTACAGATATATATATATATATATATACAGTGGGTACGGAAAGTATTCAGACCCCCTTAAATTTTTCACTCTTTGTTATATTGCAGCCATTTGCTAAAATCATTTAAGTTAATTTTTTTTCCTCATTAATGTACACACAGCACACCATATTGACAGAAAAACACTGAAAAAGAGTGAAAAATTTAAGGGGGTCTGAATACTTTCCGTACCCACTGTATATATATATATATAAGTTAGGTAGCAATAATTAAATATTTGAATAAATAAATAAGTACCTTAATTATTATTATTATTATTATTATAAGTAGTAGTATTATTATTTTACAGTTAGTGCTAGTTTATATATATGAGTGTATCAGTTGGATGGCAATATTTAAGGTACTGTATGCACAAATTGCATTTTTAATAAATTTTTCAGTAAAATAAAACAATGGAATAAAGTGCTTTAATTTATTATTTTAAAACATTTTTTTAAATATTAATTAATTGTTTTTATTTATTATTAATATTTTACAGTTAGACTGTTAACATTTTAGTTTAATTTTAATTTTAATTTTTTTAATAACTAATAGTTTTATGATCATTGTTATAAAAAAATACAGTTAATGCTACATACGGTTATATATCAGTTGGCAAGTATGCAAATCTTGTATAAGTTTGATAAGTTTGAAACTGTTCAAGTCTACCAGCCCCGTGAGAAAGTGAACAGTTGGGAGAGGCTCGTGTGATAAGTCCTTACTCGGCAATGATTCGATTGATGAACATGAGCAACAGCAGTTAACTGAATGATTCATTTGATTCATCCTCTAGGCCTGTACTTGACTAACTAGTAAAACTGTTTTGATTAGGCAAAGTAAAATAAAATAATGCTCACTTATTTTGCTGCACAAGCAAGCACTCACTATTTTACTTGCCATTTTCTTCTATTTCACGTGCTGTTTTACAGTTTTAGGTTATTATATCTTGATCTTGAACTTTTGGATGTTGCTCAACCGAACATACAGTCAAGAGCGTCTCCTCTGAATGTAAACATTTCAAACATGTCAAACGCTTAGGAATTATCACACACGGCCTCACGCGAACATGCTGCTCGTTTTCACCCTCAGGCATCAACAAATTCAGGTATCGTTGCACAACAGTCCACACATGTCTCAGCCTGCCTCCTTATTTAAGTCCTCGCACACGTCCTGGACAAACTGAGTGCGACCATGACCTGTGTTTCTTGTTTTCAACGTTTGGAGAGCACAAATTGCTGTGATCAGTCAGCATGTGTTTTGGTGCAACAACAATGAGTCACTGTTGAATTCCTGGTGGTAAAAAACAGGATTGCGAGTACTGTGTAGGTAAAGCAGCTTTGAGTTGAGCTTTTTACTGAGGGATGAGTTTAAGCGGAGGGTTTAGTTTTCTATTGTCACGCTCCATTCGAAGTCTACGGTTCAGTGCAGTTCATGCAGGAACAGGCCTTCAGGTGAATCTTCATGTTTGAGAAGTGGAATGAAATGAATGTGTGCCTTTTGAAATAGATCTTAGTTTAGTGCTGTTTTTGTTCAACAGATGTAGACGGGACAGCAGACGAGTTTTATTTCCAGCCCTTCAGCATCCAGCATCATGGACTACCACCTTCAGCCACGAAAACACTCAAACGATAAACGTATATGTTGGATACGGACACCTACATAACCCAGCCTACTTTGGAAAACATGATTTAAAAGCTGATTTTCTTTATTGAAGTACACATTTTGTAGTTTTTGAGGAACAAAGCCATGTATTCTCCTCTGTGGTTCTTCATGGTCCTGCATGGCATCTTCCTGGCATGTGCCTACACTGGATGGAGCAATCTGAATAGTATCCCACGAAAAACCATTCAATATGAAGGTAAGATTAATCTTTGTTGAGTTTATAACCGTGTATAACTGTGAGCTAAATATTAGCATCTAGTTCAGTCTTCAACCATGTTACCTACGTTATTGTAAGAATGTATGTTAAAATAAATATTTAGCTTTATGGGAAATATGTAGTTTTCATATAACTGCTAGTTTATCAAGAATATTTGGTAACAAGCTAGTACCTTCTGAGTATTAGTTTAATTTGCAACCCTGTTACTTGCAACTTTCAGTATGAAGGTAAGATTCATCTTCATTGAGTTATAACTATGTACAACTATGAGCTAAGTATTATCACCGTACGTCTATTCAAACACAATGAACAAGGTGTTTTTTTTGATGATGTTATATAAACTATTATCTAACATTAAAGTTTCTTAACATTAAAAAAATAGCTACTTTCAACACGTGAGATGTCTGTACATCCCCTTATTAGGTTGATTTTGACATGAAACCTCTGAGGTGTTGAACTTTTTGACTTGTTTCTAACAGTTAAAATAGTAATATGATAATGTAAATCACAATTTAGACAATCTATCAAAATTATTTTTAATTTGATGTTGTAATAACTTAATGACCTTTAACTTAAAATAACTTAAAAAAATTCAAAAGATATTTAAACATTTCTGACATTTTGTGAGCAAGTTGCAACCCTTTTTACCACATGATTTTCCCCTTTTACCAAAAATATAAAATTCCTTAACATTTTGACATCCAAGAAATAACATCACTTTCTACACCATGATAGGCAGTTAATTTAAATATGTAGTGTTGAGTTCATCCAGTCCAGTCTTCAACCCTATTACCTAAGTTATTGTAAGAATAAATGATCAAACAAATATTTTGCTTTATGAAAAATATTTAGTTTTCATGTAACTGCTAGTTTATCAAGACTATTTGGTACTACACTACTTAATTTGCAACCCTGTTACTTGCAAGACATTCTAGCATTATTTATTTATTGTGTGTTTGTTTGTATAAACGTATTGCTAGAAAAAAAAAACACAAATATTTGATTATTTTGATTATTTTTTTTTTTTACATGTCCCAAATTTTGGTAACAGGGTTGAGAATTTTCAATCCCCATAGAAAATGAATGGAAATAAAACTACTCGCATATTGTTTACAAATATATTTAATATTTACTTTGACCTCCTGAAGTTGATGATCAAACATCTTCCAGTGATTAAACACCTCCTTTCATTGCCTTTTTTTTAATTTTTATAAAGTTTAACTCTATTTGAACCCTGATCATTGAACATCTCCACCCTGAGAGCAAATGAACAATTTCAATTGTTACAATGTAATTCTTAGTTATATTGCTTCAATGACAAATAGATAAGGCATTGTTATTCATTGTGCATGTATGTTTTTGTTCTTAGATAACCATGTGATCACGTTTAAAGAGGAAGGTGTTTGGAATTACTCCACAATGCTGATTAGGGAGGATCTGGGTTTGCTGGTGTTGGGGGCGAGAGAGGCCATCTACGCCCTTGACATAAACGATATCTCTGTTGCCAAGTCGAAGGTGCTGGTTTGGTTTCCTTTCCTTTATCTCTTGCCAACAATACAACAGAATTCTTTGACCCTGTTTCAAAACGGCACGTATGTATAGTCTGTATTGATTTTTCTCCACCCATCAGGTGCCTTGGAAAGTTACAGAGGAGAAACAAAAGGAGTGCACCTCTAAAGGAAAACATCCTGACGTGAGTAAACATCTCTGTAACTCCCACACATGCTCACTAACACATCAACATATGCAAGCACTCTGAACAAGGGAAACAATTTGATCCATCTGATTGATTATCTTTTCAGATCGACTGTCGTAACTATGTACGGATGCTGCATCAAATGAACGACAGCTTGATGTACGTGTGCGGGACAAACGCCTTTAGCCCAACCTGTGATTACATAGTAATTGACATAGTAAGTTTTAATTGAATAATTAAAAATAATAAATATGTATATTTTTGTTGTGAAAGAATATTAAAATATAAAGACAACAAAATTAAATGATTGTTTCCAAAATCTAAAAAAAATCACTGTTTGCATCTCGTACTCTTATCACTTTCTTCCTGGTATGTATGAGATTAGGTTTCATGTGATCCATCGGGTGCTAGCGTCATACTGTTAAAAAAAACAAAAAACACCTTGTTCATTGTGTTTGAATAGACGTACGGTGACGGGCGGCTGAAACTGGAGGGAAATCAGGAAGACGGGAGGGGGAAATGTCCTTTTGATCCTTTCCAGAGATCCTCTTCCGTCATGGTTGGTATGTATGTCTTTCTTGCAGATTCAGGATAGTTTAAATGGATTGTGGTGGAAAAATTATATATATAATTTATTATTTTATTATGTTTTGTTTTGTTCTTTTGTTTTGTTTTGTCAGATCAAGACCTGTATTCTGCCACATCCTTAAACTTTCTGGGTTCGGAGCCAGTCATTCTCCGCACCTCTCCCATTCCACTGCGGACAGTGTTTAAGAGCTCTTGGCTCAATGGTATGTCAGACATAATGACAAAACTTCATTAAGAAAACAAAGACTAATTACAGGCTTTAATTAGTACATTAGTAAAAGGCTTTGTGTTTAATCCTATTTTTTATTTAGTTGTAATAACAGAACATGTCATATCAATTATATAATTTGATTAACAATTAAGTTTAAAGATTATTTGGACCTTTTTAGTAAAAAAAAAAATTAGTCCAAAAGTGGTAACTTGTTCAAAACTTCAAAATGGCATTAACATAAGAAATCTGTCTCAGAATCAGTGTTATTTTATTATTATTTACATGCTGTTGCAGTATAATTGTTTTGAATGCTCTTTTTACATTTTTTGAATTATCTTTATCTTTATATTTTCCATTTTCATTTTAGTTAAGTTTGTTATTGTTGTATGCTTTTGTCAATTTGTTTCGATATAGCTGTTTCTATTTCAGCTTAAACTTATTTCAGTTAGTTGCCAAGGCTACATTTCCTTTTTTTTTTTTGCAAGTTTTTAGGTTTTTCATCTTCTAATTATTTCAGCTTTATTTTAATTGCCAAAACAATTTAGTTAGTTTCAGTTGCCAATATTTTAATTGTATCTACACCTCAATATCAACACTGCTCTGAACAAAGTGAAAGACACATTTTTCTACCCACTCAAGAGCCAAACTTCGTCTACATGGACGTGGTCCCAGAAAGCGAGGACAGTCCCGAGGGTGACGATGACAAGGTCTACATGTTCTTCAGTGAGAACGCTGTGGAGTACGACTTCTACAACAAGCTTGTGGTGTCACGTGTTGCTAGAGTCTGCAAGGTAACACTTCACTGATCCCTTTACCTTGGCATATTTAGCCCTGATCTTATAAAGACATTTCATTTTCCCCTGTTCTACAGGGTGACATGGGTGGTCAAAGGACCCTCCAGAGGAAATGGACCTCTTTCTTGAAGACTCGTCTGGACTGTTCTCTCCCTGAGCCCAGCCTGCCCTACATCATACAGGACGTCTTTCATGTTCGCCACAAGAAATGGAGGAAAAGTGTCTTTTACGCTGTCTTCACCTCTCAGTCGTAGGTTTTGTCCTTTTTTTCACACATTCTGTATCTGAATTCGCTCATTTGTTCAGTTATTCACTGTTTACCATATAGTTCACTAAATAGAGTAAAGGTGCGGTCACATTAGTGAAATTTCCACAAAGTTTTAACCAGGCAGCTTTTTGTTGGTCAAAGCTCAGAGTCTGTGAGAACAAGTTGAGCCCATTATGAAATCTGCATGGGAAATCTTGCACCTTTGCCTGATTCCTTTTGAAATGACTGTATTTCGCTCATGAAAAATTGCAGAACAAATGTAAATGTGACTGCACCTCAGAAATGACTGAAAATGAATGAATTTGGACCAGGGTTATTATAGTTAAATATAATTAATCATACAAAACATATTTTGTTACTTGAAATAAAATGATTATAAATATCAATTAATTAATTTATGTTAGTTGCCATAATATATAGAAAAACTATATATAAAAAAACCTAACAAAAACACAACTAAACCTTAAAATTAAAATATAAACACAAAAATACAAAAAAAAAAAAAACTATAAAAGTATCTCAGTGATACAAAAATAACACTGATTTATAAAGGCGGAACAGTCCTTTATAATTCCCACCTGACTGTTCACACTGCAACATATTTCCAGTTTTTAATCTAATTTCAAACCACATTTGAATTCAGTGTGAATTCTAAAAATTGGACTTAATGAGTTTTGTTGGTGTTGCAGATTGTGAAAAATCAGATTAAAATAAAAATAGTACAACACCTCATCCGCTCTTCAGTGTATCAGTATAACTCACTGTAAAATAGCTGCAGTTTATGATATACTGCAGGTCTGACTATGTAAAGGATGTGAGTCACGTGTCATTTAGATCTGATGAATGGTTGGACTGATAATTAAAGGATTGTCTGCCTCTTTCCTCCAATTTAGTCACAGTTTTGGTATTGTATTTTTAGCCTATTAAAGATGATGATCTGTTTGTGTATGCAGGAGCTCAACAGATCTGTCTTCGGCAGTATGTGCGTACAATGTGACCGATATCAGCGAGGTGTTCTCACGTGGCAAATTTAAGACGGAGGTGAATGTGGAAATGTCTGATGTGAAGTGGGTCATGTACAACGGAGAGCTTCCTGTCCCTCGACCAGGAGCTGTAAGTGGTTGTTAGTGGTCTTACGTAGTCTTATAGGGGATTCATGCAATTTTGTTATTTGTTAAATTGTACTGTGGAGAGCGTCAAAGAATACTGATAAAATCCAAAAAACATGGGTTTCATGGAATATTTTAATGTAATCTGATGGTACAAAACAAACAAATAAATATTTAAGCCTATATATATATATATATATATATAACAAATTTTTAGCATAACATGTCTGTAATAGTCGGTTTATAACAAGACTCGTAATATTTACAGTGTTCTGAATTAAAAGAACATAGCAGACCAGTTGCAGCTATTGTCTGAAACATGTAAATGTTTAATGCGTGTTCATTTTATTACACGAACGCGTTGCGAGGCAAACATGTAGTTAAGCAAAGCGGCTTGATGTTGATGCTGGTTGACGTATGCACTCCTCTAAAAGAACAGCGCGCGATGCTTGAACTGCCGCCTCGCGACCAATCGCTTCTCCACTCGCAGCTGTCGAGGCAACACTGTTTCCGGGCAGAGGAACATTACAGGAGCAAAACAAGCGCACTTCTGTCACCCTCTCATCTCAGCGGGTTACTGCCCTCATGATGTATGTGCCACATGCAAGCTGCTTATAGAAGCTGCAGCAAAGCCCGCTAAAAACAACCAAAGTTGTAATTAAATCGTGTTAAATATATTTTGAACAGATTGAAGAGAGCTTTGGTTTAATTTGAATTGTATTTCCTTATAACTGAGAATGAAGAAAATTGTTTGAAACCTTACAATGGGGCTAAAAGGCTCAGTAAAAAAAAAACTTGTTTAATTTTATTATATTAATACAGCAATATAGTTTTTGTGGAAATGGTTAAAAATAAAATATAAAGCCTCTCTCAGTGTGCATATTATTCTGCTCATGGTCAATGAACAGTGTACATCTTTGGAGCTACATTGTTGAAAATATTTTATTCAGCAAGGATGCATTAAATTGATCAAAAGTGACAGTAAATATATTTATATTGTTACAAAAGACTTATTAAAAATAAATGCTAAAAATTAAGCTTTGATTTAAATAGTAACAGGGTTGCAAATTAAACTACTTGTAGTTTAAAAAATGATATCACAAATTCTGTCAGTTACATGAAAACCAAATATTTTTCATAAAGCAAAATATTTGTTTTGTGTGTGTGTATATATATATATATAATTTTTTTCTGAAAAGTCTATCTTATTTTGATCTGCTGATGCTCATCTTCGCAGTGTATCAACAACGCAGCAAAAAGTGCAGGAATAATGCGGTCGCTGGACCTCCCTGATAAAACCCTACAGTTCATCCGAGACCATCCCCTCATGGACGACGCCGTCCGTCCAATCACAGGCAAGCCCCTGCTGCTCAAGAGAGGCCCGCTGTTGACCCGGCTCGTTGTAGACGATGTATCTGCATCGGACGGACAGTCCTATCCTGTGGTGTTTGTCGGCACAGGTGCGATTCCTATTCGCCTCTAGGGCAGAGCAGCTCTTTACTGTCGGTTAGAGGGTGTGTGTGTAAACAGTTGTTCACAGGAATGTTAATCGTACATTGGACTGAGCTGTTTAAATTACAACCTATTGAATTTTTTGGTTTTTACGTTAAATAATGTTGAAAGTCTGGATATAGAATGATGTTTTTGTAATGCAAGTCAATTGTTTTCTGTTTTCCATCAGAAAACGGTTATGTGCAGAAAGCAGTGAACTATGATGGAGAAATGCACATTATTGAAGAAGTAAAACTGTTTCAGAACGCTGATCCAATTGACGTCCTAAGACTTCACCAGAATCAGGTACGCAGAACTGGGACTGGGTATAGATTTAGATTTAATTACTTTCAAATTCACAGGCCCTCGATTTGAATTTGATTCATTTTGGTATAATTAAGTTGTAAAATAAGAGATTCTCTCTCTGTTACTGCTATATATACATATTTGCTGATTCAGTTATATTCAAATTCGCAGGCTCTCGGTTTGATTCTATTCCGACTCATTTGGGTTTATTCAGTTCTAATGTTCATTTTGCTTATAGATGAAAGATTCTCTGCTAATGCTCTATAGATTTGCTGAATCAGTTATATTTAGATGCACATACTCTCAATTTGATTTGATTCTGATTCATTTGGGTATAATTAAATTGTAATGTCTATTTTGCTTACATAGAGATTCTCTCTCTGTTAATGCTGTATTTGCAGATTTGTATATAGATTATATTCAGATTCACAGGCTCTCGATTTGATTGTGATAAATTTGGTGTTATTCACTTATGTCTATATTCTTTGTATGAACGATTCTCTCTAATAATGCTGTATATATTTGCTGATCCGATTATATTCAGATTCACAAGCTTTTCATTCTGATTAATTTGGGTATAATTCAGTTCTAATATCCATTTTGCTTACATATGAAAGGAATTTTCTCTCTGCTAACACTGTTTATTATAAAGGGCACTGATTCAAAATTCATAATTTTGAACTATTATTTAAAAGAACTGGCTCGTAATATGAATAATTTATTTCGGGAAATGGGCTACACTGATTGTGCTGTTTCTGATTCACTAAAAATAAATGGTCAGTTGTTAATGAGTTGTTAAACTACATGGTCATGTTTGTTTTTGTGTCCTTAAAGACACTTATACTCATGTTTATTTGAATAAAAGCATAATCAGAAAAATAAAATAAAAAGCATAATTTTCACATAATAACGGTTATATAATAACTCTAACTGGCAATTGTTAAAAAGACAAAGTGGAGGAATATTTTGTTGCATGTTTATCATGAAAAAAATGCATGAATCAGCATGAGTTGTTTGTTTTGTCCAGTTGTATGCAGGCTCTGCGTCTGGGGTTGTTCAGATGCCCGTCAGCAGCTGCAGTCGTTATTTTTCCTGTGTGGACTGTGTGCTGGCTAGAGACCCTTACTGTGCCTGGGACGCCACAGTGCAACGGTGCTCTAGAGTACCCACATCACCTGAGAATGCAAAAAGGTAAAGCACTAAAGCGCTCACACACAAGTACAACCCCATATCAAGGAAAAATTGCCCAACATTTTTTTATTTATTTATGTATATATATATATATATATATATATATATATATACCCTCGTGTCATTCCAAACCAACATGACTTGATTTTCGGAACACCGGAGGAGATATTAACAATTTAAAATGTAAAAACTTTGCTTGTATTTTCATATTTTTTGGAGCCGAGGGTTAGTAAACTATTTATTTAACCGTTTTGCATTTCTAAAATCTACTGGACTTTATGTAAGTGTGTATAAACAACATATGCTAACAGTAGGGCTGTACGATATTGAAGAAAAATGCAATATGCGATACCTTGTTAAAAAATGCGATATTCGATATGCGATACGATATTGCTTAAAGTGTGTCAGTTGATTCAAACAAGGGTTCGATGCCTTGCTCAAGGGCACCTCAGTCGTGGTATTGAAGGTGGGAGAGAGCGCTGTACATTCACTCCCCCCACCTACAATCCCTGCCGGTACGAGACTCGAACCCGCAACCTTTGGGTTACGAGTCCGACTCTCTAACCATTAGGCCACGACTTACCCGTGTGTGCGTGCGCTTTGCACGTGTGCGGCAGAACTGAAGAGACGCTGTGCGAGATGCGGCTTGTGCGCGCGCTTCAGGTGTGAGTCAGACAGCAAGATGAGACGGCAAAGAGTTGTTTTCTGCAACTTATTGCACTTAACTCTTTTTAACGTCAAGCAATTCCCTGCTATATGCGTCGAACTAAAACTTTGACCTTTTGCAACATTTTTATTTAAGTAGCCTATTATTTAAATGATTCCGATATTGCACACCCTTGCGATATGCATATTGCAGTATTTGCATTTGCGATATTTCGATATATCGTGCAGCCCTAGCTAACAGTTAACATTTTTGCATTTCAGCAATCTGATACAAAGTCTAAAGGACGGGGATGCCACTCGATGCACAACAACAGGTATTTATCAACTTTTTTCTGATTCAATATTAAAGGAATGGTTCACTCAAAAATGAAAATTTGCGTCAAATGTACTCCCCCTCAGGCCATCCAAGGGTTTGTTTCTTCATTGGAACAGATTTGGAGAAATGTAGCATTACATCACTTGCTCAGCAATGGATTCTCTGCAGTGAATGGATGCCGTCAGAACGAGAGTCCAAACAACATGATAAAAACATCACAATAATCCACAAGTAATCCACACAAATCCAGACCATCAGTTCACATTGTGTGTTTGTAAGAAACAAATCAATCATTAAGGCATTTTAACTTTAAAACCGTTGCTTCTGGCCATAATAAAAGGCCGTAATCCATAATAACACTTCCTGCAGTGAAAAAGTCCATCTCTTGTTGTCCTCTCACATCAAAATCATATTTTGTTCAGAGCTGTTTTGGACTATTTTTGCTTGTAAATGGTGCTTGATCTGTGCATATTTCTCTCCTGATTCAGCCTACGTGACTTTTTCACTGTAGAAAGGAATATTATGGATAGAGGATTCGTATTTTTGCTGGAAACGGCGGTTTAAAGTTAAAAGCATCTTCATGATGGATTTGTTACAAACACGCAGCTTTTCACTTCAAAAGTTGTTAATTGATGGATTGGAGTGGTGTGGATTACTTGTGGATTATTGTGATGTTTTTATCAACTGTTTGGACTCTCATTCTGACGGCACCCGTTCACTGCAGAGGATCCATTGGTGAGCAAGTAATGTAATGCTGAATTTCTCCAAATCTGTTCAGATGAAGAAACAAACTAATCTTTAATGGCCTGAGAGTGAGTACATTTTTAGCATTTTTCATTCTGGTGTGAACTATTCCCTTTTAAAATCAGGGCTCTATTTAACATGTTTTTCACTTTTTCAGCTCCCGTGGAACCAAAGATCCGCACCCTGGTGCTGGGAAACAACATTAGGTTGCTGTGTCATCCAGACTCTAACTTGGCCCAGGTCATCTGGAACTTTGCTGGAAAGCCACTCCCCTACTCAAACAGGAAGTATACTATTTATAATGAAGGCATCCTTGTCTACAACGCTTCTGCCGCTGATGCTGGACGCTACACCTGCACGTCAGTTGAGCGGGCGAAAGGAAGAGACTACACCCAAACGCTGGCCATTTATGACTTGCGTGAACAATCAGCAGCAGTTGTGACAGATAAGATTAAGACCACATTGGGAATCCTTTCTGAAAGCTATACAACATCATCAGGTTTGCATAAACCCGAAGAGCCTCCATCACATTCAAAAAATCTGAGCAGTGAGAGCAAATGGATAGTAATGCAAGTGGCGTTGGCTGTGCTGTCTGTTATGATGGCATGTCTGCTGATCTGGAACCTGTACATGGGCCACATCTCTCCGTTTATGTGCTGTGGGAGACAATCAATCAAAAGCCCCAGGAATCTTCCAGAAAGGGAATACATGCACACAGGAAATGATGCTGTGGACAGTAAACAGCAAATGGTCAGGCTGTGTGTCACAACGAACAGTGGTCTAGAAGCCACTAACTTCCACAGGAATATCACCAATGGGGATACACCAACGGACATTTGTATTTTTAAGTACATTACAGACGAGTCTGAGATTTAAGATTTTTATTTTTTTTTTACATTATGATTTTGTATATTTTTATACCTATTTATTTTTATTAATAATAAAATAAAATAAAAAAACTTTTTTTTTTTGCAAAATTAGTTTAAAATGCAATGCAAGTAGAATTAAAACTAATTGAAATTCAAAGGAATTTATACATTAAGTAGAAAAGCAAGGTTTGTCAAGACAACCTGTGAATGTTCTCTTAACATAGCTTTTTTAGAAAATGTAGATACATCTGCTGCCCTATCAAGAAAAAACTAAGGTAAACATCCTACCAATTAGTAGCTGCATCCAAAATCACATACTGAGTAGCTATTACATTTGTTAGGGAAGCTCTTTGCGACATTCACTCTCTCAGTAGAGTACAGAGCATGCAAGTCAGTATTTTTTGGTGCCATGACCCGGCGTTGTACTCAAGTACACATTTCTTAACTACGTCTATTCTCTCTCTGTTTCACCTCAATTAATACTATGACTTTGGACATACTATTAATTTTGCCTACTAAAATATATTTAGAAAGTATGCATATTCAGAAGCAAGGAGCAACTAAAATGTAAGCAACTTCCATCTGAAAAGGAATGTTTTTATTGAAATAAACTTCGTTAGAGAGCCAGTCTGGTCACATTTTAGATACAGGATTGTTAAATACTTTGGCTACACAAGGCCAGTCATGGAACATTTCAAAATCAGCCTCCTTTGGCTCGGTGGAGGGAGATCTTAAACGAAAACTAATAAAGATCAAGTCACATGTTCATATTGAGTGCCTCCTGCCAACCACATTTGTAAACACAATACGAAGCACAATGATTACTGAAATGATACAAGGATTAAATGCAAAGTAATACATATTTAGAAGCCATTATTAATAACAGCACAGGATGTAGCCACATCCACCAATAGAGTTGTAGCACTTGAGGGAAACTTGAAAGCTATTGGTTCACACATGCTTAATTTGCATGAAGAATTAAGGCGGTCTTCATTTCGAAGATGTGAAAAGCTTTAAACAGAAAAGAAAGCAGGCACAAGATGTGTTTGCAAGAAACATTCTCAGTCATAGATCTTTAAAAAAATCTGCAACGCTGTGTTGAGGTTTAAAAAGGGTGTGTCATATGCAAATCATACCATTTACAAAGACATCTAATTCATGCTTGTGGATCTTGAAAGTCTGAACGAATAATTAACCACAGTTTGAAATGAATTGCAGAAGCACTGATGTGGACATTTCTTGAGGTAAATAGAAAAGCTGCCATGATTTTGAAAAAAGTTTTGACATGCTTTTTCCTCTAAAAAAAAATCACTTTCCCTAAAACGGTAATGTGATTGTACGGAATACAGTCATATACAGTATATGCATATGTATTCTACATGATTCAGTGATTTGATATGCAACTATTCTGATTTCATTCTCAAGCAAGTCAATGGAATAAGAAAAGTCAAGGCTCAGATGAACTGAGATGAATTCATCAACTTAACAGTGTCCTTTTTTTGCTATTTTTATACTAATGGTCCACCGTTTTCCTGTCAGTTTGAGAGTAATATGTGTTGAGAGTCTTTAAAGGAGCAGTTTGCTTATTTGGCTTGGTTATTTAACCTCCTGGGTGGCGATTTGTGGTTTGACACATTTTTGATCATCATTCACATTAAAGTGTTCAAAATATTAACTTGAACAAACTATTTAGGTTTATACACATTTTTTAAGGAGTGATTTAACATTAGATCTTTTTGCTATATATATGTATAAAAAAATTTTTTTTAAACATTGTACAAATGCAAAGCAACTATTCACAAGTCCGCGATCTGTTTTCTCGGCACAAAATAAAGGGTAACGTCCCACTGCAAACTGCCCCTTTAATGTTAAGACAACCAGTGGTACTCTTTCAGAAAAAGTATCACCAGGGTCCGCTCTCTGGGTAATTGGGCACAGCGGCTGGATACTGGGGCAGGCTGGGGCCGGTTTCAGAGATGGCGTTGAATCCAGCTTCCCTCACAGGGCCACTTTTCCAAGCGCCCGTGCTCCATTCTTCCTGTGCCTGCTGAAAACTGCCTCCTCCACCGCGATACAGTCGATGAACCTATTAGGGGACAGGAGTGATGTCACACATTGCTCTTTCATTTTGATTTAAGGGTTTATTCATTAAGGGTCGTGTGTATATGCAAATCATACCTTGATGAGAATGAACACCATTAGAACTGTATCTATGGTAAAGAGCAGAGTAGAGATGAGCATGAATATAGCCGAGGCTACATTCGTGCCGAAAAACATCACTGTGGCAATCCAGCCACTGCGAAAAGAGAAAAATATGGAAGTATTAAAATACCCACACAAAGACTGAATTTATTGAGTTAAGCTCAATCAACAGAAAGAAGTCAGTAAGATTTTTTATGTGGTTATTTGATCAGAAAAGAAAAACTACGCCAGAGCGCGTACACACCTCACGCACCGGATGCCGTGCGCGCACTCAAAGCAGTTGGACATATTGGTGTATTAGAGGTAAAATATGATATAAATACTGTTCGGTTTCTGGCACAAACCGATCGTTTAGTGTCTTAGGACATCAATGTGTCGTCACGAGTCGCAGGGTTTAATTTGGATTTGTCTGAGCATGTTTTTTTTACTTTCATAGATTTTGTTACCATTGCCATGCATTATACGACTGATAGACTGCAACGGTGTGCTATGTGGTATTCTCAAATTCAAGGCGACGGACCAAAATCTAGTCACCATACAGACAAAAAGTTCACTTCAAAAATGAAAAAAGGATGAGTTTTGCTGTAAAAACGGCGCAAACGGAAAGAATAAGGGCAATCTAATCTATAATATCTTGTTCCAAACCTGTATGAGTTTCTTTTTTCTGTTGAGCACAAAGAAGATATTTTGAAGAATGCTGGTAACCAAACGGTTGCTGGTAGCCATTGACTTCCATAGTATTTTTTCCATATTTATCCCTGTACAGCGTGTGACCCCCTTTAAACCTGTTCTTGCAAACAACGTTAATATTCTCTTAACAGTCAATGTTAACGTAAATTAACAGCGTGCCACACTGCATGGCAAAATAAATACTTCTTTTCAAGAGGTGAAATGAAATGTCAATCACCAAACCGCCAGTAGCAAATGACATTTTTGGGTGGCACCTGGGGAAGCCAATCAGATGTCCCTCCACCAATGCTCATATTAAATATTGAATATCTTAACATTTGAATGTTACTCACCAAGCACCCCAACCTGATATTCCAAGACTCTGGATGAAGGCAAGAACACATTGCAGAAAGAAAATGAAGAAGAATGCCATGAAGTTGAAGGAACTATCAGCCCTAAAAAAGACAAAACGGGTTAAAGTGAAAAATTAAAACCTCAGCTCTATTTGTCCTTTCCCAAAATGGGTTCCTTACCGGAAGGCTTTATAGAGTGGCCTGAACCAGCAGGTGTAGCTACATGGGCTGAAAACCAGCAGCCAGAGGAGCGCAAACCCAAAGTTGTCCACTTTGCCCCCGCCGGCCCACCAGGCTATGCAGGCCACCACATTAACACATAGTGTGATACAGTACACTGAAAAATAGAAATGTCAGTCATTAGATGCTTCAGTTAAAGTTAGGAATTTCAGCTTTGGTAAATCTGAAACCAAACTATTCCCAGTAGAGTTTACATTTCTTTACTCACACATCCAAAGATTGTAAACACGACGCACAAGCTGCTGGTAGGGTTGTGGAATTTCCTCAGCCACGTTCTGGTAAAAACATGGCTTTATGCGCATAAACTTTGGCAGAGGGGGGAAGTTGTTTGCTCGATCTGTCGGGCAAAAATGGAAAGGAATCATTTTTAACCCCAGCAATAACAATAAACAATTTTCCATTGAAAAAAGCAACTGAAAACAGTGAGATTCATAAATTTTATATGCCAACCACACCTGATTTACCTGTCATTCTCGATTTTGAGAAAGTGTTTAATGTTTATGTTTCTGGTGGTAGTGAACTTTTCTCTCTCTGAACTGATGAATTGAAGTTTTAAGTGCTAAAAGAAATACAAATATCGTAAAAACAGGCAAACATTCTTAAAATTAGATTTTAAAAAAATAATCAGGCTTTTGCCTTTAAGTTGTGATCACATTAATATGAAACATAACTGTTGAACACTGCAAGCAACATTAGATCATAACAGTTGTCTCTAAATAACATAGATGCATATTTTGTATTTAATATGTGTTCTTATTGTTTATAACAGTTCCATATGAAAGATATTTCACTGTATTAATGATATTTGAAAACATAATACGGCTAACCATGTCAAACAAAACTGCAGTAGAAAAGCAATGGTCAAACTATACAACGTCTACGCAAATTAGACAAATTAATTCATGTGCTTAAAAGAAAAAGGACTGCTTTAATAATACAATAAAACCTCAGGCTCATATTCTTAATCATACGATACCTGTGCACCGCTAAATAGTTTGATGGGGAAGTGTCTGCGGCCCGCTTTGAATTCTGGCAATCCCGTGGCGGACTAGCGTTCTGGTGCATTATGGGAATTGTAGTTCTAATGAGGCCTGTTTTGCACGTAGCGGACGGAAGTTGTAACTTAAAGACTACAAGCCCCATTCCGAGATGATCAAAGGTGTGGTCAGTTTCCCTGCCTTGTGGCAATGTATGAATATGACCCCTTTATGTTATTTTTGGCAGAAGCTTGTAAATATTTTCGTACTTTGGAATTAAGGATCATTCACGGTCTTATGCGGAATTACTGACGTTTGCTGTTAAAATATAAATCTTGAATGTGTCAAGACTCTCAAAACCCACCTCAGAATCAGGAATTATTTAAGTTTTATTTAGGAAAAAACGCATTTCAATTCATAAAAATGATTTTCACTCATCAGAAACCCTCTACACCGAATTACCAAAACAAACCACAATAGTATCCAGCTGCAGACCCGCAGCACCTAGTTTCAGAACCGCAACCGCAGAACCGGAAGTGAGGGGCGGAGCTTACATTTTTTAATAGAGTAGAATATTCATACCTCCACAGACACCTGCATGTTGAAGTGGATTTGAAGATGACCATTAATTTGACCAGTTTGGCTGGATAATAAACGTCTTCAAAACTTCACCACAAGGCCCATTTACAGCATGCATCCGAAAATTAATCGAAACATCCACAGAAAAAAAAGTTATATAACGTTACTATAAAGTATGAAAACAAATTCAAGTTTCAATATAAGATAATAAAGCCAAGCACACATTAAGTACTTAGCAGATAAATGCTTAACGTAATATATACGATAATTATTAAACGTATGATAGCAAAAACATTAGACTACTCACCATGCTCTCTCGTTGTCAATAACTCCGCCCCTCACTTCCGGTTCTTTACGGAATACTCACCGTGCTCTCTCGTTGTCAATAACTCCGCCCCTCACTTCCGGTTCTGTGGCTGCGGTTCTGAAACTGCTGGTGCTGCGGTTCTGCAGCTGGATAACTTTGTAACTTATTATTTTTATTTGACCAATCCTACTCGAGAATCACACTCACTGTCCAATCACAGGTTTTGACCGCTACGTGTTGCGAGGCAGAATCAAGCGTGACAGCCAATAACGTGACTCTTCGTTGATGTGACGTGGCGCGCCGCTGGCCAATCGCACACTCCGATCCAGTCCCGCAGCAGGCTCCCGCCAATTCTGAGTGGGGAGCGCGAGGGGAGTCTGGCCGGGGATGAGACTGGTTTGGAACGGCTGGACCGGGATTAAACAGGGAAAAAAACAGAACCAACCGCTCTAAAAGTAACAGAAACCCATCAAATTCGCAGTCGACACGTTAATGTTATACCTGAAAAAGACGTGCAGTCGATGACTAGCCTTAAGGAGCTGTGTACGGAGTCCAAAAAAGCGCTGCCCGTTTCCGTTTAACGTTTCCAGCGCGAGGAGTTGAAGGGCGCGCGGATGGTGGTCGTGATGCTCGCGGCCGAAGAGCCTCTGGCCTCCACACCACGAAGAGGTTTGATGTTTAATGTGAAATACAACTGGTTTAATGCGTGATTAAAGTCTATATATAGGGAATAATAATGGTAAGAGAGCGCATATAGGTGACCAATAACGTGGAAAAACTCCACATTTTACCGGACATTACTAACGTAATGAAACCGTTTTAGTTTGGTTCATTTGCTCTGAGAGACGATAAAAATGTCATTTCAATGTCTTTTCAAAGTAGCATTTGGGGTTGTCGAGGGTTTTGGCTCTTAATTAGCACGTTAGCAGGTGAGCTCAGATTTGTGATTGACAATCTTGTTTTCTACTCGCACTAAATGTGATTTTCATTACGTGTAATGGTTGTTTTTTTCTGTATTCAAGCGGGTTTATCAAAATAAGGCCCGTTTATGTTGTTCTGAGCTCAATCTACTACTTTGTTCCTCAGTCTTGGGTTAACTGTAATGGACGAACTTAATGTCTCCGTAGTCACAGGTTCAGTAGCCAAACTCAGTCGCTACAGGCCTACAAACCATCTTTCACTGAAAGGCGGGAGATCCAAACTAAACATTATACGTGTAGTTGGCCTCCATTATTTCTTTGGAAGTTTGTAAGCGCTTCTGCGTTTTATGTGCGGGCTTTTTGATATTTAGAAAGGTTAAAGTTACTATTTATACTCGAAAATGCAATCTTTGGGTTCGATGTGACTGTCAACTAAATAGTTAACTAGCATGCAGAGGTAACTTAGCAGTTACGTTACCTTTGTTATGGCGAGGCGTGGTTTGACAATGAGTACTGTTTTGCGTCAAGTATTGATCTTAATGTCAGAGATCATGTCAGATTGATGCCATTTGATTTTTTTTATAGCTTGCATATGTATTTCTGATGAAGGATTGGACCTTAACATACTCTTTATATATTTCAGGCATGGATTGTGTGGGCAAAGCTAATACCAGCAAGAAGCTTGTTCAAGGTAAACAACTTAAATGTTAATATTTCTAGTCAGAAATGGAAAACCATCCCCACTCAAAAAAATATGATAGTCATATGTTTAGTCATGCCTTGAGGACCCAGTTTATTAAATCATTAATTTTTGGGGGGGAATCTTGGGAGCTTATTTTATTAAAAATCCTGAACATCATTAGGATGGGATATGTTTGTAGGTAGATTGGGAAATTGTCCACATAAGTGCTTAATGGAGTATGTCTCAAACTATATTGACTCACTTATGATATATCAGGTCACGCAAACCTTTTAGTGAGCCGTCAATGAAATGACCATTACTGCTGATTATAAGGATAAAAACATGAAACAATTTCCAAATATGTTTTATAAAGTTATTCTTATAGTGTTACTGCCTTTGGACTCAATTCCTGTTAAAATGAATATGCAACTGGGTTTTTACCTTTAATTTTTTATTAAGTGTTTTCTTTTCCCATTGTGATATTACTTTACTGTTGGATGATGGTGATTAAAAAGATAGAGTACATTTTTCCAGTTTATCCATAATGTAAAATAAGTAAATTATGAAAAAAATGAATTCTTAAAGCCCAATCTAATTAATAGTATTTAACAAATTGTCTTAGTCATATTTGTTTATTCAAAAACATAATTTTTTTTTCTGAATATGAGTCTATTCTTTTGTTTCTGGTTGTTGCTAAAGGCTTTAATACAGTACATGACTTTTGAACAGATTTTAGCCCCAGTCTGGAGGAGTTGACAAAAGTCAGAGCCAGTCTGCAGATTTTGGCAGTCAGAGTTGTCAGATTTCACAGAAAATTAATTTTTTGTTTGTTTTTTGTTTAGTTGCAGACTGAAGTTGCATCCCAAATGATGCGTGTACACTCCAGTCTAGTGTATGAGTTTCTTAAGGTTATTTTGTCATCCATCAAGTCTAATAGCTCTTCTCCTTCACTTGTGTAATTGAACCTGCGGCCACTGAGTGCATAATGTCTCTTACATTTGTACCTATAGCTAAATAGGTACTTTATTTATGTATTTAAAATACACTTTTATTTTTGGTGGGAACCCATTAATTGCACTATACTAAACGAATGGCATAGGATAGTGCACAAGTATGCAAATTAGGATGCACTTTTGAGATTCCATCCAGTAGGGATGTGTGATTTATCAAATTTTATTTTGATTTTGACTTCCAACAATTATTATAATTGAGGTAAAACAATTACTGTGCTGCATTCCATTTCGCACCCCTTTCGTTCCTTCACAGCAGTGTGCTTTTGTTCTTATCTAAAAGCCTCGACTTAATGTTCAAATCAGTCAGCATGATTGCAGTCTACTATTGCTAAACTGCAAGACAGCATACACAGATCCTCAGATGTTCAGTGTATAATGGCCAGCAAATGTATGAGGCCTAGTGTTTTATAATCTTTTCAGAATAACTTAACAGCATTGCCTCCTTACAGCACGTCTACCTTTCAAAAGGCTCAACCCAGAAACCAAGGAATGCGGTGAGCCCAAAAGAACCAAAGGTCCTGTTGTCCCCAAGTGTTCTGAAACCAGTGTGTCGGATGGAGAAAATGATGGGGACAGTTCCTCCACCCCGCTGCACCGTGGCCCAGCTCTGGTTAATGGCCGTGGACCACTTGATTGCTTCATGAGCAGGCGGAAGCATTCCCCGGTCTGCTCTGGCCCTGAAACAATAGACCTTACTGAAGACTCAAATGATGCTGTCAAACAGCAGCCTGCACCTCCAGTTGCTGCCACCTGCCCCCTTAGCGAAGAAACAACAAAGGATGCAGAACATGCAACAAAATCTTGTGCTGCCACCTGCCCCCTTAGCGAAGAAACAACAAAGGATGCAGAACATGCAACAAAATCTTGTGCTGCCTCCTGCCCCCTTAGCGAAGAAACAACGAAGAATGCAGAACATCCCACAAAATCTACAGAACCAACCACCCCACTGACAAAAAAAGAGACGGAGAAGGACGAAGATGCCCTCCCACTGCTGGACATTGCTCAGGAGTCTGACACTGAGGAAGAGGAGCAGCAGGAGACTGAAGTCAGTCACGGGAATGAGTCTGAGCTGTCGACCGAGTCTACCAGCTCCCTCTCAGTGGTAGAGAGCTCACCAGAGCCCAGCAAGAGCGCTCCCACCACCCCTGCCTCTGTGAGTAGACATGAATCAATTTATCTTTTTTTTTTTTGCTTAAAGGGGTCAACCCTTTAAGTTCAACCTGTTGATCAGTCTCTTTCCTTTCTGCAGACGTCACAGATAAACGCAGCTAGTAAAATGAAGAGACGATCCCTTAAGGTAAAATCCCATGTTTTTTTTATCACATTTAGAACCCAGCATTTTTAGTGTAATGTTAATCTGAGCATATGAGATTCAGGTTTGGGTGCATGAGCCCAAAGCTGAAATCTTAGTAGCTAGTGTGGGTTATTTCTCCTCCAGAAGTCCCAAACAAGTTTGATCACAATGTGGATGTTTGCACTTTTAAGGGTTCAAGAAGGAATGATTGTTTACTTTTAAAGTCTTGTCACTGTGGAATTCTGCACTCCATTTGAATAGCTCTTTATTTTCTTATTGTCCCTCAGAGTGTCCAAGAGCAGGAGGAGAAGCAGCGACAAAAGGAAGAGAAAGAACGCCAGAAAAAAGAGGCCAAAGCTGCCAAGGAAAGGAAGAAAAAGGAGGCCCGCAAGCTAAAGGAAGAGAAGGAGAGGGAGAAAAAAGAAAAGAAGGAGAAGGATGAAAAGGAGCGACGAGAAAAAAAGGAGAGGGAGGAGAAGGAAAAGGCAGAGAAACTAAGAGCTAAAGAAGACCAGCGGCAAATGAAAATTGAGTGAGTGTCTCAGTACAGTATCACAATAATAGTTGTACTGATTTTTTTCTTAGTTTTATGAAGGATGCGAGTATTAAAATCTGTTGTAAATGCTATTTAGGGCCAAACTGGGAGAGAAAAGAAAGAAAGAGGAGGAAAAACGGTTGAAGGAAGAGAAAGATGTGAGTGGTTTTATCAATCTTTATTTCTGAGATCTTCAAATTTGGATGTTATTGTTTTGCGAACTGTTCAGGTCCTCATTGAGTTTGTCCATCTGTTTAGCGAATCAAAGCTGAGAAGGCTGAGATTACACGCTTTCTACAGAAGCCCAAGACCCAGTTGGCACCAAAGGTAAGAGTCACATTATTCACTGGAATAAAGACTTGTGTCAAACTACTTGTGTGAAACATTTACAAATGTTACATAAGATATTCATTTGAGAAAGAGTCCTTGTTGGACAAACAGATAAGATAAAAATCTAAAAGCTAGAAATCTTTCCCAATGTGATGGCTGTCATGCTTTGTTTACGCTGTGTTTTCTTTTTCTAACTTTTTTTTGTGTATTGTTGTGTTTCAGACACTGGCGTCTGCCTGTGGGAAATTTGCTCCTTTTGAGATTAAAGCTAACATGTCTCTGGCACCACTGACTCGAGTACAATATGAAGACTCAGTTCTAGAGGAGCTGGACCGTTATCTTGCCCAACCTGACAGCACTCTAAATGGACTAAAGGACTGGACAAGGCACAAACCTCGTCGTTCAGGTCCAACCCAGCCCAGTCACAGTGCTGTAAGGTAAAGCCATATTAAACCTGTTGCTGAGATACTCATGAACTTATAAATGTGCGGAACACCAGCTGCTGTTTATATGAGAGGGATGTGAAAGGCTTATTCTTTGTTTGTTTTGTCTGTTCTCTGTTATTAGAGATTGTGTGGTCATAACTGACAGCCAAAAGGCAGATGGCATCCCAGACCGCCACCGTTATGGCCGCATGAAACTACTGCAATTCCATGACAACTATCGTCCAGCTTACTGGGGGACCTGGTGTAAAAAGAGCACTCGCATCTCTCCACGCTGCCCACTGAGACAAGACAAGGTAAAAACACAAGAATGTGCAAATGAAATCAGTGCTTCCCACACACAGAATTCACCTGGGCGTACAACCCAAGTATATTTGGTAACACATTTTTGCTTTTCATTATTTTATACTCTTACACTTTTTTTTTATCCGCCTGAGATGATGAAACCATCCGCAATCGATTTAGAGGCCGTTCACATGTCGTGTCTAAAAACTCATGGAAAACGCCAGCCGTGCCACTTCTCTTTTCAAAAGCGCTTGGGAGCTCGCGCTCCAGTGATATGCCGTTGCTAGGCAATCATGAGCCGCGTTATCCATGAAGATGAAGAAGATTCAGCCAAGGATAAATGGATTTCCATCCCTTGCATTAACTATACTACTAGATATGTTTATGAAGGTGAGAAAAAAAGAAAAAAAAAACCTGTACAGCTATGATCAGCTGTTTGTCCATCTTGGCTGAGCTTTCGATCTCTATTTGAGTGTGCTTGTCACACCTACATTTAAAATAATGAACTTGAGCGTGCAAAAGACGTGACATGAAGAGCCTCCATGTTTCATAACCGCTCGTTCGGTGTGTGCAAGAACTAGGGCTGTGCGATACTGAAGAAAAATGCGATATGCGATACCTTGTTAAATAATGCGATCTTCTATATGCGATATGATATTAACTTAAGTGTGTAAAATCAATTAAAATTATATTTTAAAATATTTAAAAATGAAAATTATATAACCAATATGTTTCACATTCTTTCTTAGAAAAGAAAGCATCACTACAACTTCTGAAAGTGACCAGCAGTGTTTTAGTATTGCATAAAAAGTATTGTCACAAATCAGAAAATGTAATTTTAACATCAATGTGAACAAACAAACGAAAAAAGTAATGCCACTTATTTTATATCAATGTAACTTGGCTTTCCAGTTATTACTTAAAGTACACTTTAAGTACTTCTTCATATACCACAGCAAAAGCTGTAGCCTAAAAAAGTTAAAACATGATTAAATGCAAGTGAACAGTCAGTAAAAAAAAAAAAGAACAAATACACATTACAAGCATAGATAAAATAAACAGCAGGGTTTCCGCGGGTCTTAAAAAAAGTCTTAAAAAGTCTTAAATTGTACAAGAAAGTCTTAATTATGATTTCAAGAGGTCTTAAATTTGGGGACGGAAAGACCAGAATTGCGATATGCTGAATGTCACGATTAAACTTCAAAAGGCTATGATTTCATTAAAGGGGTCATATGATGCGATTTCATTTTTTCCTTTCTCTTTGGAGTGTTACAAGCTCTTGGTGCATAAAGAAGATCTGTAAAGTTGTAAAGACTAAAGTCTCAAATCCAAAGAGATATTCTTTATAAAAGTTAAGAGTTAGCCACACCTACCTAAAACGGCTCGTTCGAGCGCTGCAGGTTCAAAGTCCGGTGCTGTGCTGCTTTGTGTTCTGCCAATACCGGGAAACAGTTATATTTCTACCAAACGCTCCACCTGCTTTCAGAATGAATGAGCATTTTCAATAAAACTGATGTTTTGTTCAGAGTTCAGACAAATGCAAAAATCTACCCATGTTTTTACCCTGCAAACACACAGAGCTTTAAATGTGAACTGGTGGATCGATAAGAAGACAATGCGTTATAAAAATCTAAACAGAATAGGGGTGTGCGATATGTATGGGCTGCGATAATATCGTAATTGTTGTTTTAACGATGTGCGATTTGATATTATCAAGTATATCGCGAAAAGCAAACAAAACCCCTACAGAGTGCGCGCATACATTAGATGATGAAGTCTAGCAGGTTAGACTAGTGCGCGTGCGCATTTATAGTGCGTTCTTTCACTGCATGAATCAGTCTATTAAAATGCATTTAGAATTATCACATAATTCAAGATATGGGGCAGAAAATGTATATATTTATGTCATTTCATATAGTTAATACCACACGAAAAGTGCTGTTTTTTTTCTCAAAGTCAGCATGATTACAAATGTGATACTGATTTTATACAACAGTTCAATAATGCGTCTCTGAGCAACATGACGGTGTTTCGTTCCTGAATAAATCAACAGTTTAAATGATTCGGTTCAATCGCAACAACTCACTTATTAACAGTGACTTGCTGCCACCTACTGGCAGTTTTAATTTCACATTTAAGGTACCTTTCCATTTTTAAAATGATTTCAAACATCAGTTTTCAATGTTTTATGTTTAAAATATGAAAACATTATTTATGCATTTGTAACTGCAGGTTAGAGTATTCCATGTCCCTCAGAGCTGCATTAAACAGTGTGTAAATACATCTAAATGCCACTTCTAATGCAGCTTCTGTGTTTCCTCTGCATTACAAAGATCAATTTTGTTGATACTGATTTCATTTGTTTGGTAACAACCCAAATGCAAGAATTTGACTTGCATCACACTTTTAGAAAAAATGACTTAAAGGTGGGGTAAACGATTTTTCAAAAATGCTTTAGAAAACTGATTCGGGTCGAATAGCAAAACAAACTTGTAGCCAATCAGCAGTAAGGCGCGTGTCTACTCATGATGTGGAGGAGAGAGCGTTCAGTGCACTGGACGGACATTAGCTGAGCCAAGCGACAGAAAGATAGAGATGGCGGATAAAAAACAAAAGAGGAAAACGTCTGCGGAACAAAAGAAGGCTTAAGGCAATAAG